CTTTTTTTTTTTTTTTGCTTACACGTGAGTTTATGTTTCAAATGGAGATATCAATCATTATTTAATTTGCATTGAACAAAAAAAAACACTCATTATGTCACATCGTTGCCTATTATGGATTTTCGATGCTTAATCTCCTTCTTGAATTCCAGATGCAAACCCGATATGGTAACACTACAAAATTATTCAATTATGAATATGAAAATAAATAAATAAATATGATTAGCACTTACCATCTTCCAAGTCCTGCAAACTCAAAAAGTAGGATGACCTTGCAAATACCAAAGCATGTTGTTCTGGTTCAAGGTCTTCATAATATTCCTCACGAAAACTCGATACTTCTTCCAGGCATGTACATGCCCGAAGCTTGTGCATTAAATCACATGTAGAAATCATGGTACATTATAGAATCTGGCCAGTATTACAACAAAAACAAAGCGATGTTGACTCAACGACAGTTAGATGTCATATGATACTTGCCCATAGGTTCACCATTTTCTCTCGTCCAATCACAAACAAGTACCAACTTTGGGTCACTTCCTTTCTAAAAAAAATCCTCGCATTCTCATTGGTCGGTAACACACACATTCAACATACATGCCGGGTGGCCCATTGTTTGGTCATTTGGTCCTTGTCCCTCGTACCCTACACACGTCCATCCTCCACCTCTCCATGAATGAATGAATGATGTAAACAAAAGAACTTCCTCCAGGGGATGTACCCTCATTACGTAACTTCCGCCGGAAGGACACCCCAATTAACTCATTAACACTCCCCTATTGTTTACCGGAAGTCACCGGAAGGATTAACTAATTAACCGGAAATGCCAATTAACACTTCCTATATAGGGGTACCTATCTTCTCCTGTTTCTAAATGTTCGGAGCGAGTGAGGCGAACAAGCGTTGTAAAAATGTAATTCCAATAGTTAAAAAAAATGTAGGATGCATTCGGGCATCTCGCTGCCCAAATAGATTATTAATGTATCTCGTTGCCCAATATTATTCAGGCACCAGGCACTTCACTGATTGAAGTCATGTTTATAAATGTTACGAGAGAGCGAAGCGAGCTAAAAGTAGGGACACTTATTTTTTATTTAAAATGTTATTTCCTTAGAAAAATACAAAGCGGTTTTTAATATTTTGTTTTCACGAAATTAGAGTTATTTCAAAATGGATAAAAATGGGTCTTTTATTAATTTCTCTCACGGCAGTCCTAAAAATGTTTTGCGGCACCCTGGTTGGAAAACGCTGCTCGTTCAACTTCCAATACCATGTGTAGAACTGTTAATTTCATAGTGTGTGTTTTTTTCTTCAGAATTCTCTGGGATTTCTGCTCCTGCTGGCAGCAAATACCGTATATTATATTTTGTTCATATTATTCATGCACAATCATGCATGCTCATTGAAGTGTTTACTATTTTTTAAGTCATGGCTTCCACAAGGTCAGTGGATATGTGCATATTTGCATGTCACCTGTAGTCGTATCACTACAACTTGTTTAAAGGGATAGTTGAGTTCTGTTGCAGAGGGCGCTACACAAAAATAATTGTTGTGTGAGATAATGAAAAACTGACAATTTAAATGACGAAATCATCTTTGTTTGATCAAAATCGGTTCAGAGACGGCTGAAATATAACGATTTCTAACATGTCTAATATTAGATCATTTGAAAAAGCCGTTGAAAAAAAGAAATAGCGCCTTTTACGTCGTATTTCAGCCAAGGCCGATGTTGGCATTTTCGTGTCGGTTGTATTACGCACAACCAGCCGGCCCATGTATTGTTATTTTTAATTAAATATTTTTCTGAAAGTGGAGCTGGCTAGATTTCACACATGTTGGGGTCTAAAATTAGCTTCATAGCAATTTTAGGTTCTAAAAGGGCACTAGAAATGTCATCGATAAGAATAAGACCAATAACCATGCACTTTGAAGGCATTTGCAATCTGAAAACAGAACTCAACTATCCCTTTAAATTGAGAAATCCCCCAAAATATATTTGTATTATGTCACAGCTTCCGGTACTCTATTCAACAGGTAGCATAAAACTTTGTCGAGAGATGGCGGTATTCACGTAAGAGCCAAATGCAAAATGAACGCAATAAAACTAGGAGCGATCGGATTTATTGACAACCTTCATGAAAAAGTCTTTTCAACAACAAAGCAATTAATTAGAATATACGAAATTTAAACAATTCAAACGTGGCTTTGAATCCAACGAGACAGACTTTAACAAATATTTTGAGAAACAAGATTTTATTTTCATTTTTTGTTATGCGCCCAGTTTTGTCATGTAAAGGGTTAAGGGTTAACATCGACATATTTTACAACTAGCTGGTATGTACTCTCTAAACAGAAAAGAGCTGACTGAAGGGGAACTTCTTACTGCAGCCAATATGTTCTAAACATTTTCACAAGCCAGAGAATCGTCTAATTTCAGACTTTTGGAAGTTTAGTCTCTTGAAATGGAATATTAATCGAACAATTAGTTGTGAGGAATATTTTTTTCTTCCTACGGCATCCTAGGGCCGGCCCGATTTTTAGTTTGCATTTGCCCCAGCTTTGGAGGCGCGATAGCTCAGTTAGTATAGAGCAGTGGTCTCGTAGTCCGGCGACCCGGGTTCGAAACCCAGGCGATCGATGCGCTAGTGCTCTTTGGTAAGGCATTAATCCTCATTACCAGGTCTCTCGGAGAGGACAAGCCGTCGGCCCCCTAACAAGCAATTATGCTTTCTTAGCAGTCAGGTGAAATAACCACCACTAGTTTTACGTCTTCTTCTACTACTTTAACAAGTGTGGATCTGTTAATGCTGAGGTGAATAGTTAGGTCCCGCATGTGCTGGTGTTACTATACCCTATCATTGTGTAAATAATAGCCAAACATTATTATTGATAAGCCTTTATAGAACGGATCGAGTTAGTGAGACTAAACTGAACAGCGCCACCATACCACCATCAGAAGAGATAAAAACATAGGTGTTCTTATGACATCGTATACGTGGCCGACTTCATACAAGTACAAACATGAATTCTCTCAGCTAGATATTACTCAACGTCCGATGATCGTAAGTCTGTTTATTTTGATGACTGATCTTTTCCTTCAAAAGTGCCTGACGAAACAGATCGAGGGCTGTAATATTATTGGAAAGAATAGGAAGAAAAACGAGAAGAAAAAGGAAAAGGAAAAAAAAGAAGAAAAAGAGGTCATTTTTCCCCTCTCCATTAACAACCGAGGACTTTTTAATTATAATAAAAAAAGGAAATAAAAAGAAGAAGACCCTTACTAGTAAGCCTAAATCCCACAAAAATAAGAAATGGCCTCAATGATTAATTCAGGTGCCAATAAACTATGGAAAGAACTGGGAACATGATAATGGCCACCATACCATCCACGGGGGTGCAGGGGCGGATCTAGGGGGGGGGGGGGTGGAGTTCGGCGGTTTAAACCACCCCCCTTGGACGGCCAAGTGAAACAAAAAAAAAAAGGGGGGGGGGGAGAAGAAGAAGAAAAAAGAAGAAAACAAAAGTAAAACAGTAAAATTACGGCGCGATTTTTGGAAAATCCTGGATCCACCACTGGGTCAACCCCCCCCCCCCCCTCCTTGGCAAAAAGCTAGATCCGCCCCTGGGGTGGGGTATCATATCAGAACAATTTTGTCAACAGTGGGGCTCCCAAAAAGAACTTCCTCTAAAAGATAATGACTTGCATTTTTCTCCTGAAGCTAAATCCACAGATGCTCATTTTTTTGTTGCAATTTACAATTAACAAATTCCTCCAACGAAGATGTAGAAAAGAAGAAGGACCCAGAAGAAAAAGATGGCCAAAAAAAAAAAAGAAGAAGAAGAAGAAGAAAAGGAGAAAGAGAAAGAAAAGAATAAGAAGAATAAGAAGGAGAAAAAAATGGGAAGAAGAAGAAGTAGAAGAAGAAGAAGAAGTGGAGGAAGAAGAATTAAAAAAGGAGGAGAAGAACAAAAAGGATCGGTAGAGCGAGAAGAAGAAAAAGGAAAATATTAAAAAAAACTTGAAGAAATATCCATTCGACCAGTAAAAAAAGAAACAGGCTATGTGATTATTTAACTGTTATTCTAAAATCAATAGGTCTTATTGTTATTTTTTAATTAATTTTTTAGGGGGGGGGGGGGTTATATCAGACGGAAGTTTCAGTAATATTTCCCAATTAATAGTAAACTTATAGGAGTAGCGTCCTTAAAATCAAACCATGCCCCCTTTGAACAAGGAGAGTTATTTTCGCATGTCGATCCCTGGTGCCCTGAAAACGGGGGGGGGGGGGGGGGGGGGGCGCAGGTTCAGGGCCTAAAGTCCGCCGAATGTTACGACTTTTTAGGCCTGCTTCCTCTCTGTATCCTGAATTAGGTCTATTTGAGGGTCCTCTCAAGACGAACTTTTAGTTCGTAAACCTGGCATGCCCATGCCATAGATCAGTAGCCTAAACCATGAACCTAATACATTCTCAAATCCGATTTGAAATTTTCGACAAATTGCTCCTGGCCGTTTTAGACTAGTTCACCTAGTTTCCCCCTGAAATTAGTCTAGAGTCGCAGACTATTTATAGAAAACATAGCATTTCAAATATGAAGTGGTCAAGTTGTATTACTTTTTAATAGTAATGAAAGGTACATAAACGATATTTTTCATATTTTCTCTTATTGAAGCCCGTAATGGTCAAAATTCTTTTTGCAAAAGGAATTTTGATACTCGTTTGTGGAGTGTGCGAATTAAACATAGTCTTCGGCGCAGACTAGCGTTTTGAGTTGTCTGCGCTGCATGCATCTAATGTGAATGCAATATATGCAATGGTAAAAATGCACGTTGCAGGTCAACCTTGTGTGGGGAAAGCGTGTTTGAACATGTCCAGCTCTGACTCGACAAGGGGGAAAAGTGCATCGGAAAAGGAGGATAAGGCAGAGGCAAGTGGCTGCATGCCTGTTTGCCTAGGATGCTGTTCAGCTGCAATTCAAGATAAGGTAAAGGTAAATGCTGCTCCATCAAATTTATTTCAATCAGCGAGTGAGAAGCGAATGGGTGCAGATATATTCACATTTTCTCGGGCACCAGCTGGAAAGGGTGTATTAAGAGAGGTCTGCATCGGGGAACTTCCGGGTGGATTGACGGTGGAGGACGGTGTGAAGTTGTTCGTCGGTTCGATCTTTTTGGAAAGAAATACGTGATTAAACATTAATGTCTGAGTTTATCAGTGAATTTTCGAATATCTGATGGGAAGGATGCTGGTCGAACAGATGGTGGTAAATAATGCTTATTTCTTTTTAAAATCATTTTCTCAAGACTGCCCCATCTTCAGAATTTCATTCAATCATTTCATCAATCATCTATTTTAGACTCTAGATCTACTCTAACTAGGCCTAGATCTAGAGCTAAATAAATTAATATTTGTGAGAATTAATTCTGTCATTGTTGTGCTGAAATCTAAATCTACAATGTAGTCTAGATCTAGACCTCTAGAGGTAAACCAGGGAAATCTCCCTGATTTAATAAAGACAAAGTTATTGAAAATGATTGATCTTTGATGTTTTCTTTGCTTTTTTGCCATTTTGACATCCTGATCATGATTAACAGTAGGGGCGCTGGTCCGAGAATGAGGATCGTTCGCTTAAACGAGGATCGTCTTCGTAAACGTGTACGGACGGCCCTAATTAATGAGGATCATCTGCGAAAAAATTTCACGTTGGCAATGCGAAAAATGGATTCCGCAATGATTTTCTTCAACATTTTACATTGACTTTGTACCGAGACTTTCACGTTATGACTCTGAGCGTTAATTCCTTTGGAAGATGGACAACCCATGAAACTAGTCAGTGAAATGGGGTTATTTTCTTACATGGAGCACCGATGAAAAAAACGTCTACAAAAAAAGACAATCCTAATTTTTGAGGATGCAATTTGTCAGCGTTTACGAGGATATCCTCGTTTATTATTACGATCCTCATTCTCGGACCAGCGCCCCTACTGATCAGATTTCTATTGGAGCTGTTGCGAAAGTGCATTAGCGCCATGTTTTGTAGTGTATAATTTCTTTGACTTCTAGAGACAATTAACTGTCTTAATGTTACATGTAATAGACACTGACACTCAGGCCAGGGCAGGGCCATTTTCATGATTTCCCTATTCTGACCGTCAGTCAGCTTTACCTTTAAAATATTTTTTCGTTCCGTACAATTTATGTTAGTAGACCTACTGGTACATGTAGCTCCAAGGCGTATTTCAAAATATTTGAAATAACTTTGAACATTAATTCTGTAAAGAAAATAATATTGCCAGTTTAAAATACACTCTTGTTCAACACAAAAGCGACTTTTGAGTACTGAATATGATAGACTTTTCAACATAATATTTGTACCCTTATACTTGCTCCCATAAAATATGGCTCAAATGGAACCCAAGTCTGCCATGGTTCCTGTGTGAGCAGTATTATTATATGATGCCAATTTTGACTTGAGAGTCAAGAGTCAACAAAGACAACAATCAATAACTTCAGAGTCTAGGTCTTGACTAAAAAACTTTTTTTTAAATCGTAAAAATAAAACCCAAATATATATTCACACACCCCTGGAGGAAAGCATCGACCGCGACCATTGGCATCATAACGGCGTCACAAAGATAATACTTCGTAGAGACGTAGAATCAAGTATTTTTTTCTCTCTGAATATATAGATGCCCAAGTCGCGGAAGCGAAAGCGAAGCAGAGGGCGCCACCATTCGTCCAGTTCGCAGAGCTCTTCTGAAAGGCTTGGTCTGGGCGGCCGAAGGAGGTTCATTGCCATAGCACGCAATGCGCCATCATCGGCACAAGAAATGGCAACTGTCCTCGCTAGTGAGTTGAGGCCGGAGCACAAGCTGCCCAAGAAAGAGATATGGGTAAGTTGATTCTGAAGTTATTCAAGAGTTTTGGATGCTCTGATGTTCGATTAGATTACTGTTAAACTGCCCTTGTGTACTTTTGCTATTGGAATGTAAAATGCAGGGTACATTTGTAAATGAATGGATGGTCCTAAAAAGACTCCCCCAAAACTGGAGAGTAGACTAGAGAGGGGTTTGCCACTGTAAATGATATGTATACTTCCTTTGTTACACAGGGTTTGCTTGTTATGTTATCCCTATCCCATCCACCCACAACAAAGCATCAGTGTCTGGGTCTTGCATTACTCAGAAACGGGGGAATCCCCATCTACATGTAGGTACTGCACATGGTCACATATTTTTGAGGGAAAATAAGCTAACACACAAGACAGACAGATACATGTAGATAGTAATAATAACAAAACGAAATAAAAAAAATCAACTCACTCTTCAGTTCTATCATTGTTAAATGACAAGTCCAAGGTTTTTTGTGACCTTTTATCCCATCGGTTTATCGTGACCTTTTATCCCATCGGTTTATCAAAGATTTCGAGCTCAACCCATGAATGATCACGAAGATTATGTGAAGATGATGCATGTATATGTACATTTTTGCTTGTCGTTTCAGAGCAGTTAATCAAAGATATACTTTTGAAGCTAATTTACATCATGTACATGTACTGTATGTTCACTATTCCATTTTACTTTGGTTTTGTTTTGACATATCTGAGCTTGTATGGGACATAGAATAATGAGGTTAATGACGTACCTGTACTATATTTTGGATGCAAGTACACTTTATTTGTTTACTTATATAGTACAATTACAGTGTACAGTATATGTTCATTTAGTCATTATTTATTTGTATGTATTTGTTTATTATTATTTTTTAGGGGGAGGGGCAGTGCTACATGTCATTTGTAGGTCCCTCTATTTAACAAATTCTGCATAATATGTCTCATTGATTACAAGCTCATCTCATTCTATATCAACCTCTGCTATTCTCTTTTCTGAAAGTGATATTAATATGAGAAACAAGAAGGTTAAGTAATGGAATACCATATTTCAGAGAGAGAGAGAGAGAGAGAGGGAGGGAGAGAGAGGGAGAGATAGAGAGAGAGAGAGGGAGAGAGAGAGAGAGAGAGACAGAGAATGATAGAAAGATGAGAAGCAAGTACAGACTTGTCACTTGTGAATTCCTATGTTTTCGCGGCTTTAAATTTAGGCTGTCTGGCATAATAGTCTCAATCTCCCAAACCCTTGTCCTAATTAAAAATAAAAGAACCCTCTCATCTAACTTATAAATCCTTTATCATGATTTGAAATAATTGTCGATGGGGATTAAAGGTTTAGTGTGAAATCATTACATCCTGGGAGTCGAGATGTTTTAATGTCAGCTATTCGTAAACAAGCGTATGAATGGCTTAGCTTATGAGATGTGCCTCCATACATGTTCATTAAAGGTAATACAAAGTTTTGGGAAATTTTGAAAATTGGGTGGATAGTGAATCTTTACAATTTTGATATATTTGGATGCCCCTGTGGATGTATAATAAGCACTAAAAAAATTAGCCACTAAAACACTTCTGTTTTCGAGAAAAATTGAATATAAACATTTACCGGTGCTCCCGGTAAATTTCAAATAGCGTCTATGGCCGTACAATGGTAGATGCGTCAATGAAAATCTCAGAATATGTATTTGTGATATATAATTTCCAAACGGGACTAGCTAATCGGTCGATTTTAGTCTAGAAACATTGTTTCATAGCTAAATTAATATTTTGACCTTGAGAGGGAGCTATACAACATAAAGAGTTTATTATTTATAATTTCATAACTTTAGACTCGATTTCAACCGCGACAACGATCAATGAATATTGTAGGAAAGCATAGGCTTCCAATATGTTAATTTGAACTAAATTCATAACCCCATACCAAAACTTTGTAATACCTTTAACTCTTATTAAGCTTTTCATGCTAGTCTTCACATTTTAAAATCATTTCAATTATTTTGCACCATGTCAGGGCTTATTTAACCAGAGTAAAACAGTGAGAGAAAATAGTGGAGTAGCCTGTTATTCACCTACATTGTTAAATGGCATTAACAACATTTCCACTGCAATTATATTCTTAACCCAAGTCAAATGGATTCCTAGTTTATTGTCTAGCTTTGTTTAACTTTTAAGAAGAGCAGTTCCATTTTGTGTGATACAGTTTGATATTAGTTCTGTACATACAAATTGTTTGGCAATGGGTCAGATTTTTAGCACAATTCTTGTAATTCACGTTGTTTATAAATAAAAACAAGGTAAAATTGCTAGATCATAGATGACTTTTGTTACCCCATTTTCTAGATCTAGACGTATGTAAAAAATCAAAAGATAGTTACACATATTTATTTTATTTCAAAACAATATCAAATGCGAGCTGAAAAAAAGGAAGAAGGAGATGAAATAAATGGGTCTTAATTTTTGCCTCACTTGAATCAAGTCCAAGTTGTTTTAAAGTACCGGTATAGCTAATTTTTCTAGAACATCAAAACTCAGTTTTGGGTACATGTGTAATGTTTGTGCTATTCTGTTGAGATATCATTTTGCAATTTGCAAATCTTGAAGAACATCCATGTAATTTGGTATATGACTGAGTCATTCAAAGATATCTCAAATGCCCTTTCCAAAAGTGCAATATTATGACTCATCGGCCATTACCAGAGATGCTCATTCTCTACTTTCATTTCCCTCAGCTTCTTATTAAATTTTTTCCCCCTTTCCTTTCAGTTTCAGAAGAAGAGAAATAAAAGTCAGATATATTTGAATGAAATAGGGATGGAAACCTAAATTTAATATGCCTACTGTGATGGGAAAAAATTAGGGGGCTACTTTTCAAGCTTGCTTGCATGAAAATAACACTCTTTAATTTGTTTTGCATTGAACTCTATGCAAATTTTGGGGGGCTCTTGTATGACTTTCGGGGGCTCTTTTGGCATTTGGGGGGCTTTTTTTCACTATTTTGTAAAAACTAACAAAATGAGTCAGAAATGAAAATGATCATTCTCAGTGTTTGCCAGGCAACTGGACCTGGTAATCTGGCGCTATGCACGTCTATAAATTTTAGAATTATTTGGCATACTTTTACATTTTGGTATCCATAATCTTCTGACTATCAATGAAAAGTGAAAACACAGTTACATCTTTAAGTGTACATGTAGGTGTACATGCAGGGAACAATTCTCTATTGCCACTTTTTTTTTGCCAGGTTGCTCTGTGAGAAGTTGAGACGAAAAGAGTTCTGGGGGGCATTTCACAAAGCTTGTCATCAGTGACAAATGACAGTTTTTGTTATAAGCTACTGAATTCCTTGTTTCTGATTGGTTATCAACAGATTTGTCACTGATTTTTGTCATTTGTCATTGGAAAAATGCTTTGTGAAATGCTTCCCTGGTCAAAACAAAGAGTTACAGCTTCATATCTTACTTTTGCAACTAACAAAGAAGAATGAAAACCAAATGTCTGGAAACCAGACTACAATTCATACCATATGTACTGGAAGTGGAAGGAAAAGTCAGGTGACAGTGTCAGGTGATCTAGATTGTAGAGAGCACTCAACAAGCAGAGACTTGCTAGCTAGAGCTCTCATTACCGAGATCATCAGCTTATTAAAATGCTGGGCATGTGTGCATCTAGTCTTTAATTTTGTACATGTATGTACGATGGTGAAACAAAGCTTAAATATGGACAGCTGTTGGCCTACATGTACATGTGCAGTCATTTGTACATGTATTGTCTTGTTTTGTTATCAATTTTAAAGATACACTGTACATGTAGAATAGACTTAGAGGCTGTTCACACCGGCAGAGATCTCTGCGGTTTGGGAGGTACAACGTCGTTTCGGTCCGCCCAACAGCGAACCATGGCGAGCCAAAACGGCGTGCCTCTGGAGCACCTCTTGGGGGTGGTCCATGAGAGATAGCATGGTCTAGCGTGCGCTAGAAAAAAGGGGGTGCTATGATAGACCTATCTCATTACGGTGTGAACAGCCTCTTTGTTTGGCTGATGTTGAGGTCATGAACTAGGGTAAGGCCTTTTAAAATAACTTCTAGATTCCTTTTCCCCATCCACTTATTTAATAAATTTAGTTCTGACAGAATAGTATTAATGTCCATCTCAATAGGGAACTTTGTAATGGTGCAATTGCTTTTAAAACACTGAAAAACTATACATATACAGGTGTAAATGTATGTCAGAAATTTAGGTAAAATATGAGATAGCACGGAATCCAGGTTTCTTGTCATTCTTAACCCCACCCCACCCCCACAAAAAAGAAAACTAGGAATCATAATCCTATCATGTACTTTCATCATTTGAAAAAGGACATTGAAAATTCATATCTATTATATCTATTTATCATATACCTCATATCTATTTATCATATCCGTCATATCTATTTATCATATCCGTCATATCTATTTATCATATCCGTCATATCTATTTATCATTCATATCCGTCATATCTATTTATCATATACGTCATATCTATTTATCATATCTGTCATATCTATTTATCATATCCGTCATATCTATTTATCATATCCGTCATATCTACAATGTATTTATCAGACAATTAATTCTTTAATGCTGAATTCAACAAAAGTGGATTTGTAAGAGGCATTCTGTAGGCCTACATGTACTGTACATTTGAAAGCATCCCAAGTTCCAAGTTATACATGAACATACACATGTACATGTACCTGGAATAAGTAATTTAAACTTCATATGCTATTTTTCTTCTTCAAAACAGCTGTCCCTGAATACTTTGCCTAGAAAATGGAAATGCATGAAAATGTGTTTGTATTGTGCCGTATATATGTTTGATAACAAGGCACATGAACACACACTTAACTTGATAACGATGATATATATTGATATGTAAATATCTCCTTGTCAATATGGAGAGGCCCTATCAACAAGCTCACAAATTCTCAGCAAGTAAAAACTTGTCTAATTTAAAACTGAACAAGCCTACTTTTTGCGTTTATGATGAAATTTAGTGTTACGAAACTAGTGTAATGATCCAGACCCCTTGTTATCAAAAGTGACCACAGGCCTGGACTTGTCAGAGTTATGAAACTGATTCTTGAATGACGTTTTATCCATATTGACCACATTTTTGTGGTCACCATTTTCTAGGTAAAACCACATGATTTGTTCTAAGCTGTCAATTTGAAGCTACTCGTTGATATTCAATAGGTATTGTGGGCTTCACATGACAACAATAGATGTGTGATGTCAACAAGTTTGGCATCTTGTGTTTACTTACAGAGGCCCGTGCAAGATCAGGCAAGTCTTAATTTCTTGCCCAATTGCCTGTCGGGTGACTTTTATTATTTGTATTGTCCATTATTGTTCAGTTCTTTGTATTTGACTTTATATCCCAGTAAACTTTAATATTATGAAATGGTATGAGCAAGATAAATGCTTAGTGCTACATGTCTGATCAGTTTAGGTCCCATTTGATCAATATCAATGAAGTATTCTAAAGTGGTAAAAAATGTTCAGCTAAAATACAGTACATATATATTAGCCCCTCATCCCAATTTCTCATTCTATTTTCCTGAAAATACTCAATAATGAAGTACCAGTACATGTAAGGTGACATGTTACCATGGTAACCACCCTTCCCCATCCCATCCACCTTCCTCTACATGCTCCCCTCCTCAGTCTTCAAGTAGTCCCCAAATTAAATTTTGATGAAATTTGAATAAGTGCCCGCATATGGAGAGAGAGAGAGAGAGAGAGAGAGAGACTTTTAGGGTTGGTTGAAAAGTCAAAGGCAACAAAATGGCCTTCATATACACTGTACAGTATGTAAATGTACATGCATACATCTAGGTCTACAAGTCTTCTGTAATATTTTAGCTCAGTTTCTGACAGTAGAAATGTACATGTAGTAGAAAATGATTACATTATCATGTTTAAACATGGACATTCTTTCACAAACTTTTGATAAAAGAGGGTTTTGTCCTAATCTGTCTTCAAGGTTCGCCAGTCCTGCATGTCTGTGCAAGCATGGACCTACATGTACTAGGTACATGTGGTGCAAGCCACTGATTACAATGCAATCATTCATGCTATTTCATGTTTTTCAGCATTCTCTGACAATGTATTAGACTAGTCTCTGAATACAGACTGTTTGAGGTCTAGCATGAATTGGAGAGTGGTTGAATTGTATCGGCACTCTAAATTTTCAATAAAGTAGAGATACATGTACATGTAGGACTGATTACTTTCAAAAATAAAAAAATATAAAAAATATTTGGACACTGACGGAATAATCACACCATCACACCAAAGTACTTTTGAAAATAGCAAAATGACATCAAATTGAAAAGTGATACATGTACATGTAGGCCCATTTAAAAAAAAAATTCTGTCAGAAAACTGGTGGATATCACCATTAAAAAAAAACAAACTTGTTTTTAGTACTGTACCTTATGTATACCGTAACAGTAAAAGTTTTTAATTATTTTGGTAAAGCTTCTTTGTGCCTTTAGGACCATTCCGAGGAATGAATTGTTATGTTGTAGTTTGTGACCTTTATTTGTACTGTGTGTTGCAGTTTAATTTTGTCTGCTTGTTCTCTGGTTGAAACAATGCAGAGAGGCATGGATAGGAATTAAATGTAACATAATTCATACACACTGTACATGTATGCTCCCAGTCTAGCCAAGTCAGTTAAGAGTTAGTCTGCATTCACAGACTCTATTTTAACACTGAGGCATTTGAACCTGCATTAACTTTATTAGTCTTTAGCTGTGTCATGAAGCCGCTACAGTACATCAGCTATGGGGGCAACCATTCTAGTCTAATACTCTCCAGACCCTCTATTATGTGTAATGACAAAACAAGTTTGTGCCTGCTATACTAGATAAGAGTTGCTTCATGGCATCGATATTAATTTGTTTCCTCAACCACTGGACATGTTTCTGCTTGCCTGGCGCATGGTTCAATTATTGTTCGTCTGCTGTGACGACTTTTTTTAAAGTCTGTGCAGTATGAACAATAGGTTGTCCCGCCCCTCTCATGTGAGTGGGCATTCATCTGTATTGTGTATGTAGTGGTTTTGTAATTTGTATAAATAGAGTACCATGAAAAATATTGCATACACATGTAGACACTCCCCCTTTTTTTAGAAAGAGAGAGAGAGAGAGAGAGAGAGAGAGAGAGAGAGGAAGAGAGAGAGAGAGAGAGAGAGAGAGAGAGAGAAAGAGATATGTTGTTTGAGCAATTATGTACACATAGGCTGTTAATGCAGTAATAAAGAGAGGGAGAAAAGTTACCTAGAGTGTCACCCTCTCAGCATAAATCTTCTCTCCTCTCACTCTTTCTGTACATGAATTTAGACTGCACAAAACCTACAAATTATAGGCATTACGCAGAGCTGAACTCAATAATATCATCCCCCAGTTCCCCCCTCCCTTTTTGAAAATTAGAAAGGGGCTCAGGCCATATTATGAAATCAATTCAGAAGTCAGAACCCTATTGAAAACAGTTAAGCCATTTTGTGGGCCTACATTTTATTATGTAGATGAGAGAGAGAGAGTAAAAAGTAATTACAAATAATGTATTTGAGGAAGTATTTTTACATTATATTGTGGCTAGATTATTGATGATATTAAAACATGTTTTATGAGCCTAATTATGTTCCTGTAGTGAGATTATGGGTAAAGATGTATTATGCATTGATTTCATACAGGTTACCCCCAGGCCACAGTTCCTCAAGTTACTACGATCAGTTGGAGCTAACGGCAACACATTCACAGCCAAAGAAGTAAGTTTGAATTTGAGTTTGAGCTCATCCTCTCCTGCCCCCTCCCTGCCCCTCTTCCTGTTCTCTATCCACCTTCCTTCTACTCCTTTCCCTCTCCTTCTCCTCTCCCTCTCCTTCTTCCCCCTCCCCTCATCTATTTGCCTCCTCCCCTTTACTCTTCCTTCCTTACTGTAAGTACCCCTTTCCCTCTCCCATTCTATATCCATCTTCCCTCTATTCCTTTCCCTCTCCTTCTTCTCTTTCCTCTTACCTAATTCCCTCTTCCCCTTCCTTTCCTACCGACCCCTCCCTTTCCCCAGGCCAACTCTTACATCTCCTTCTTACCCTTCCTCCCCTTTCTTCTCCCATTCCCCCTCACCTCCCCCTCCCTTCACCCCTCCTCCCCCTCTCCCCTCCCCCTCCTCTCCCCCTCTCTGCTCTCCTTCCCCTCTCCCCTATCCCTCTCCTTCCTCTCCCCTTCCTCTCCCCTTCCTATCCCTCTCCCCTATCCCTCTCCTTCCCCTCTCCTTCCCCTCCCCTCCCCTCTCCCCTCTCCCCTATCACTCTCCTTCCCCTCTCCTTCCCCTCCCCTTCCTATCACCCATTTCTGTTCCCCTTCCCCAGCCCCTCTCCCCTTGTAGAATGGCATGAAGGAGGAGGGGTAAAAGATTTATGTGGATGGTACTTGAAAGCGAAGGATTATATTAAAGATGGATACAAATATATAAGATGGATGCAAATTGTCTAGAGGATAGTGATTTGAGACAGAAAAGAAAATCTGCTTCATACTATAAAATATTGAGTTACAACATTGAATAGAAACTACAAGTAGGATCAAATATGAATAATTAGAAAAACATACATCGTGCAATCGTGCATGTTGACAAAAGAACCTTGTCAAACAAGATTATGAAAATGTACAGTACCCTGGATTCAAAGAGCGCATCATATATCTCATTGCATTTACAATTTATCCTTGCCTGAAAAGTGAAAACTTATCTTTGTACCAGTCCATCATGTAAGGGTATGGTCCTACATGTACATGTACATGTATCTTCTCATGTCATGTACATAATGAACAGCTAGCCATTTGAATGTTGGGGGGGGGGGGGTGTGTCTGTTGTTGAAATTTGTCCTCAGAAGTATAACAATGTCATCAAATTTTTCAAAATTTGACAACCATGAAAGAAAATGGGATTTACAGACAGTCTATGAAAAAAAGTCAAATTTAGGGATAGTATATTAAATATTTTTCATTGGGGGGGGGGGGGGGGGGGGGGATGGTGTCTGTTGTTGAAATTTGTCCAAGAAAGTATTTGATCATCAGATTATTAAAATTTAATGATCAGGAAAGAACATGAGATTTGCAGACAGTCTATGAAAAAAAGTCAAATTTAGGGATAGTATATGAAATATTTTTCATGGGGGGGGGGGGGGAGGGAATGTCTATTGTTGAAATTTGTCCTCTGAAGTATAACAAGATCATCAGATTTTTAAAATTTGACAACCAGGAAAAAAAATGGGATTTGCAGACAGGCTATGAAAAATATCACATTGTCAAACTTAGGATTGGTATATTAAATATTTTTCATTGGGGGGGGGGGGGGGGGTGATGTTATACCCCTAACACCCCATCTAGCGACATTCCTGACGAGGAATCCACCTGTCGACGAGGTCTTGTAAAACACTTATCTCTGTGTACATTGCTAATGATGAATATCTTTAAGAAATACATCCTGGTTCCGACATCCGGGTTTGGAGTATTGATTGCTATTATGTCGAGGGTTCGTTGATTAATTATTTCCACCGTATATTTATAGCTGAACAGGTTCATATACACTGCGCTGGGTTTTCCTTGTCATGTAAATATATTGTGATCTCATTTTGTAACATAGAATTATGATAACAACCTCATTCCCATTTGTATAGGGTATACAGTTATGAATTTAATAGCTCATAGCTATAAATAAAGGATGTTAGTTTACACCCTCTCAAATGATATTAAAAAAAAACATAATATTGCTGACAGAATACCAATTACAATATCTAAATTTAAATGAAATTCGAAGTGGTAAATGATGAAATGTTTTTGGTAAATGATAAAGAGGTTACGAGAGTAAGTCATCGCTATATTCTGTTGCTCTCTACTGCAAAAGACTTTATCTCTTGCTTACGTGGAACTTTCACAAATTCAGTAACAATCCAAGGAAAATATGCTGAGAAATTTTCTGGTTTTATTAGGCCCATTTTACACAGCTCCCAAAACATTTTGAAAAACATCACTTTTTACTGCCCTTGAAACGGCTGGAAGCCCATAAGAAAACATTGATTTTTGGTGAGTTGTGCGCATGCACAACTTGTCGCTGCCCTGCATGAGTTAGCAGCAGACCTGCCAACCAGTACGATTTAGTCGTATTTAGTACGATTTTTAGAAGCAAATACGACAGTACGATTTTCCTTAATAAAATATGATTTTCAAAAAAAAAAAAAAAAAATGTCCATTCTGTCCTGTACAGTATCCTACAAGCATCCCACATCAGCAATTTGGGGATGTTTATTGGTTCATCGAACACACCAGTCGTGACGAAATAATGCATATTCAACCAATGATCAATAAAAAAAATTCTTCCTGTAGGTAGTAACTTTAAGAGGCATTGATCCGCGTAACAATCCGTGTTTATTTTCAAGAATACAACTTTTGTCCGTAAAATACAACTTTTGACACTAAAGAATACAGTTTTTGAACTCCAGAGGTTGGCAGGTCTGTAGCAGGGAAGCAAGGAGTCGCGTGATCAAAAACCAGAAAAATTTCAGCGTGATCATTTGCAAGTTGCAAAACCTGGTGTAGTTGTCAATGCTTGTCTCCCTTGCGTCCTCCAATCTTATCCCCAGGTTCTATTTTACCTGCCAACTCTTTGTATGAGTTATAAATGTATCTATTGTCTTTTTACCAGAACTATTTGGAAGCTTCCAAGCTTGAAATTGCTGACTCCTTTTATTTCCTTGTCATTGGTCCAGGTACTCTCTTATCTGATCAAATACATCAGCTCAAGGCAGCTATATGATCCCAACGATCCCAAGAATGTATTCTGCCACTCAGACCCCTTAGGTCAAGTCTTCAATGTCCATTCATTCACAATCAAAGATGCCAAGTAAGTGGATAGTATGCAGGAAGGGTGTTTCACAGAGCCTTTTTTCAATGACAAATGACAAAAATCAGTGACAAATCTGCTGATAACCATTCAGAAGCATGGATTTCACTAGCTTATAACAAAAACTGTCATTTGTCACTGATGACAAGTTTTGTGAAAAACCCTCCAGGTCATGATTAAAGGTAAAGTAGTGTTTGGGTCACAGGTCAAAGGTTAAATATTAAAAGACGTGAAATAGATCTTCCTTTCTATGAAAGTATGTGTAGGTCGAGAGTGAAGTTTTCATATTTATTTCTGGTGGACTTATTTGCTAAAGATATATTTATCTAAATGTTTTATGTATCAAAATATCACTACAATGTTTATTCTGATATTATTAAAAGAAAAGAAAGAATAAGAAGGAGAAGAAGAAGAAGAAGAAGAAAAGAAAAGAAAACAAATCCTTTGTGAAGTGTGGGTGGGAATGATGTGGGGATATATTTTAATTCAAAATATATTTTTTCTCTCACACATTGCATCGAATTATCCATTTAAATTGCTGGTACATGTGTCATGTAAGTGCTTTTAGCCATACCCCAGACATTCTGAAAGTATTGAAGAAAAATAATAATAATAATTTGTGAATTTAACTAAAGATGTTCTGTAGGTCATTCCTGAAAAATCTTGTTATGAGCTTTTCTGTGAAAGCTGTTGAAAACACATACATTTAGCTTTTGTAGATGTACATGTACATACTAACCCTTTGTTTTACTATCTTGTCTTCTCTTCGTAGGAGGTTACTCTTTGAGAACATGAAGGTCCTTGACAAACCTCCAGAGCTACCCACCATTCCAAGAATGCAATCCATGCCTGCAACCATGAAAGATTGTTACATCACCTTCCGCAATAACCAAGAGGTAAGATAGAAGTTAATCGTCTGAGAATTGATGACTAGTCTTGTTTAGGAAGACTGTTATGTAATCTTTTGTGTTATCCATGAGCTAAGATTGACATTCTGTGATCCAAGAAAGGATACCCTGTCTTGTACATGTATTACAATGTAAAGACAGCTGTATTATCTTTCGCAATAATGAAGAGGTAAGGTGGATGTTATGCTATCTAATAATTGATGCCCAGTCTTCTATTATGAAGACTTTTATATCACCTTTGCAATAATCAAGAGGACAAGATAGGCATTTATGATCTGAGAAATGGTAACCAGTAGGGTTACTACTAGTACATTTATCTTTTGCTGCAAACAGAAGGTAATGCAGTTGTTTTCTGAATGTAATGGGAGGAAGAGTGTAACATCATTAACAATAATTGAGAGGTAAGATGAATAATTTAGAAGCAAAGAAATAATGACCAGTGTCATAATATAAAAGCAAAGCAAAAAAAAAAATGGTGTTGAATTAGAGTTGGATCTCACATCGCACCTGACATGTTCTAAGCCTCGGTCACAAATGCCATTACGAACTGCTACGAACGCCGTACGAAGGATTTTCAGACAATGGAAATTCGGGAAGACAACGGAAAAACGGAGATTCGTACAAACCTTTTTGACTGTAGCATCAGCTTATGTATTACAGTCTTTCATTGTTTGTTATCTTTTAATCTACAGCACGACCATGAAATAGCTCCGGCACCTCCCTACCACCCCCTGCCCCACCTCTACACCCAGCCGACACCTAGATCTGCCTTCCAATCAGGGGTCAAGGTCATGTCATCGGGGGTTGACGTCGCAGACGGGATCGGCAAGGGGGTCTTTGACCACCAGGTGATGGAGACGATGCTGGACACAGTATCAGAGGGAAGGGAAGGTACGGCAGTTCATCGCTTTTTGTCTGATTTTGTATACTTTTTGTTGCTAGATTAAGTGACTGGATTTAGCTCATGCTGCAATGATAATTATAAACCTTCAGGATAGTCAGGAATTCCATGACTTTTAAAAGCCGACCGCCTGTCTGATTATCAATATATTTACGATTGGAAATCAAAATTTCATTTTTTGCTTTCCTAACGGTTTTGATAACACTACAGTCTATTGGGGAAAACGAGCATGGTAAAACCGGTTACTCAAAGATTTTTTCTTTTGAGGCACTTCATGATCATTTTAAAGCACATTTTTTTTAGGGCTTCAATATTAAACCATATTCACAAACACTGATAACACGTAGGGCCATGCATCTCAGATTTAACATTGTTTAAACTAGTGCTGTAGTCAAACGTTTAACCGTCCGGTATCCGACCGCCCATGGCGGATTCCGTTTTCAATTGGACGGTTTCGTTTTCCCGTTTTTTTTTTTTTTTTTTTTTTTTTTTTAATATTTTTTTTTTTTAATAATTTTTTTTTTTTAAGTTTCGATTTATGCCCCTCCACCTGGCACTATGCCTGGCAATGTCTCCCAGCTCAGTAATCGGTGTGATGACTTACCACTTGGAAATTAGAACAACACTCCAATTTGTCTGTCATCTTGGTTTGAAAGTAATCTTTGTAATAGATCTCAATATATATTCATCCAAGTTTAACACATGGTGTACCACAAGGTTCTATCCTAGGTCCTCTACTGTTTTTAATTTACTTTAATGATCTTACACATTATTCTAAAACGACATTGTTACTATTATTTGTGACTAGTTCACAAGAGCAAATCGGCGCCTTCAGTTAAATCACCTTCCTGCTTTTTCACACGGCAAAAAAAAAAAAAAAAAAAAAAAAAAAAAAAAACGATTTTTTTTTTTTTTTTTTTTTTTTTTTTTTTTTTTAATAAATCGTTTAACCGAAAACCGTCCGGTTTTGACAGGCGGTTAAACGGAATTGGAGATATCCGTGATGTTACAGCACTAGTTTAAACGATGCCTTTAAATTGATACCCTAGTAGGACTGCAGTCCTAGATAGCAGGAAGTGCACTTTACAGTCAAACCAGAAACTTGTGTGAATTCCATGAGTAGTTTAGATTCATAAAAATGTCATGCCGCAGATTGCTTGTATTACAACTCTGTATTCTCTAAGGGTTTAAGGTCTCAGGATTTAATACTTGTTGCTACTAAGACTAAAAGTGAGTAATAATAAGCTTGTTCTTATATAGCGCTTTTCAGGACCGCATGCCCTCTCAAAGCACTTTACAGATATATAATATTACCCCGGTCATCGGATTCAGGCTTGCCGCTTACCTGCATACAACGTATGCACATTCTCCACTCCCTAGGGAGCATTCCAGCCAGGCGTCATTTTTCCAAGTGCACACTTTCTAATCTAAACACATTTGGTTTTCGCATCGTACGGGGTAGATCAAATGGCAAATGTAGGTCAATGTCTTGCCAAAGGACATTAGTGCCGCGGCGGAACTTGAACCGTGGACCTTGTGATTCACAGTCCGGTTTACAAATCCACTCGACCAGCACACCCCTAGGTACAACAGTTACCAAAGAGCACAGAGACATTGTGAATTTCAATTGTAAATGTTTACTTTGCAAACTGAAATATTGGAACAGTTATATATGTACAATTATTGCACCTACTGGAGAAACAACATGTGATAAGATTATAGTTAATTTGACATTGAACAAATATAGGGGAAGGTATTTAGATAAATAGCTTTTGTGTGGCAGTAATCGACTTTAAAGGTAATACAAAGTTTTGGTATGGGGTCATGAATTTGATTCAAATGAACATATTGGAAGCATATGCGATCCTACACTATTCAGTGATCGTTGTCATTGAAATCAAGTCTTAAGTTATGAAATTGTAAATAATAAACTCTTTTATGTTGTATAGCTCTCTCTCAAGGTCAAGATATTAATTAAGCTATAAAACAATGTTTCTTGACAGGGAGCACCGGTAAATTTTTAGATTCAATTTTTCTCAAGAGCAGAAGTGTTTTAGGGGCTAAATTTTCTAGTGCTTATAATACATCTACAGGGGCATCCAAGTATATCAACATTGTAATGAATCACTATCCACCCAATTTTCAAAATTTCCCAAAACTTTGTATTACCTTTAACCCTTACTGTACTGGGGGGGGGGGGGGGGGGCCTGGGAGGCCCCCCCTCGACATTTTCGGAGATTGCGCCACAACCGCTTGGAATTTTGAATTGTCGTTTCATGACTTTTTTCCCTCAAGTCTTGCGCACATTTTGATACCATTTTCGTCAAAATCGGATATACCTGTAAGGTATTACATAACAATTAGTATGCGCATGTCATCAAAAAAGTGCTATAATTGCATATATTCACGTACAAGCAGAAATGTGAAGATACGAATTGATATCAAATTGCTTTTATATGTTTCTCAGAGTAACTTGATGTATTCCAGAACAAAAGAATACATTAGAAATAAAACAATAGATATAATAAGAAATAAAAAACAATAAAATACATAAGAAAATAAATAGTTGAAAATCGCATCAAATTTGCATAAATTATCGTTATTAATTACATCAAATAACTATTTTGTGTTAGAAAAGAAGTTTCATATGAATAATGAGTTTCAACATTCAAAAAGTGGAGTCTAACAATTCTTGTAATGATTCTAGTTCCCTAAATATAGTTCCAGATTTGATATTCATGAATGCGAAATTTGCATATTCATAATTTATGCAAATTAACCTATGCATTTTCAAATATCATAAAAATAATGAAACCTCATGAATTTGAGATGAAGGAAACATTTATTCAATACATTTTCAAGATTCTTCACAAGTCTACGGACAAATATGTAGAGTTTTCTGTAAAATGCATAAAATTAGCATTTTGCATAATTAATTAGGCTATAACGAGAAAAATTTGCATATTAGGAAAAAACTAATTATACCATCTTGTTCCTTACGTAAATATCTACAAATATGCAAATTTTCGTGTTCATCGGACATTCGACGGCCGAGATCATAGGGAGGGCCTCCCAGGCCCCCCCCCCCCCCAGTCAGAGGGTGCTCAAAATAGCCCAGTACAGTAAGGGTTAATTCATTTTCTCAGAATATGCCTTTTCAAGACTTTCAAAATTCCCCCCTATTGTATTTTTCAGGAGGAACTGATGAGCCAGACGTTGGGATCTCTGTGACACCGCCCCCTAAAACACATCCCCCTTCCAGTGACAACTGCCATGGAGGGTCCCTGTCTGAGAGTAGTCAGAGCCTTGGGCTTCTGGGGAATACCCAATTCCCTAGGAGGAAAAAGCATCCTAAGAGAAGACATCAGAAACTAGTTATGGGTAGGTCTTGATTTTCTATGGTCTGGACCATCAGGGCATTTCACAAAACTTGTCATCAGTGACAAATGACAGTTTTTGTTATAAGCTACTGAAATCCTTGCTTCTGATTGGTTATCAGCAGATTTGTCACTGATTTTTGTCATTTATCATTGAAAAAAGGCTTTGTGAAATGGGCCCCTGGTGTCAGTCTTTTTTTCAGGAGGGGGATAGAATGGGGGCAGGTGGAAGTGTTAGGATTCTAGGGAATACACACTTCTCAAGTGATAGGTAGATCCTATTCAGCGTTGCCTAGCATTTATTTTGATTTTGTTTTGCTTGTTTTTGTTGTTTCTGGGTGTGGTAGGGGGTGGTAGGGGGTGGTTCTGTCATAGAGGTAAAGGGATAGTCATAGGGGTGGGATTATGGTTGCAATAGGGTTCATGGCTAGGTATAGTGTTGGGTCCATGATGTAAAATAATATTATTAGTGGAAGTCAAGATAATGAAAATATTTCCTTCAGAAAAGAAAAAAAAAAAAAGAAAAAAAAAAGAAAAAAGAAGAAAAAAAAAAAAAAATCACATTTAGGTTGATTAAAATCAGAGATCAACATTTGAGTATTTTTTATATCATTCCATACCAAATAGTGCGCATTCATGTTTTAATGCCCATTGTTTGCTAGACTGATATATACATATGTCTATTTTTACACATATGTGCCATGAGCAGGCTTTAAGTTCTCAACGTTGATTAAGTAAACACTAGTCAAGAAACGAGATAAGATATCATATTTTGAAATACTTGGTAAACATTATTTACTGGAGAGGACCCATTCTTTTTATTTGACTAGTGGTTCGATACAGGAAACGGTGTATCCATGCAACAAAAGTTATTATTGAACATATTAACCTGGAGGAGGTAGTGTAGATCATTTTAGGGTCCTTATCAATATTTGTTCGGAAATGCAGGAAATTTGTGTGCATTTCTTATGGGGAAAGAAGACAATGCATTTTCTCTTATCAGAATAAACATCTTTTAGCACCTATCTATCTGTGCTCATGAGATATTTGCCAGGGTTCTGTATTACTCATGTGTTTATGGACACATTTAAATGATATTGATAGGCCTGTCCTCATCAGCTAGAGATTGCCAAATAACCCGCTATTTCTGATTTTGGAAATAATCCTGAAGTTACAAATCGCGTCCTCATCAGCTCGAAACTTGAAGCTGTAGCTTGAGGTATTTTGCTTAGCTTTCGCGCATAGTGCGAGTCTTCAGGCTGGTTAAGATGCACCGGACAAATAAGCAGGATATTTTGCAAACTAGCCCAAGATATCTTGGGATGATTAACTCGACCAAATATCCCGCTAATTGCAACTTCGGGCTGATGAAAACACAAATTAACTTGATAATTTGCGATTGGGATAGTTGAAATAGCGGGATATTTATGGCAATCTCGAGCTGATAAAGACAGGCCTAATGACAAGCAGGGTGTCATGCTGCATGCAACCATCTTGGCAGAACTTTGGTCAACCTTGGTTTGCATTAAGGTCCATGTGGCAGCCTTTGGGGGTGGCCTTCGGAAGTTGAATACCCTGAAAGTAATTTACAAACCAAACAACAACAACAACATGAAAATTGAGCATCAACAAAGAAGATTTATTGTTAGAGGCTTAAAAAAAGAAAAAGAAAAAAAAAAGAAGACAATAAGAACAATATATAGAAGCAACATGGGAAAACATGATGGTCATCCAATATCAGGTGTTTGATTACACCAGGGGCGGGGCGGGGGGGGGGGGGGGGGGGTCACAAAACTTGTCATCAGTGACAAATGACAGTTTTTTTCTTGATAAAACTAGCATACCTGCCAACCCTTCCGAATATTCTGATTTTCTGGATTTTCTTCTGATTGGTTATCAGCGGATTTGTCACTGTTTTTTTTTCATTTGTCATTGAAAACAGACTTTGTGAAACGCCCCCATATGTCTCTACACAGAAACACTCCCAAGGTTGTGTTCACACGAGCCTGTCCTTAGCCTGTTGTCATGCTCGATTAGAAATCATTCAAATTTCTTGAGCGGTTTGAGGTTCAATGAGGTCCATGTAATTTATACCCAATCAGTTCCCTAACCCAAAACCTAAACTGGAACCCAAATGCAATCATGTCCTGAAACCTAACCAAAAACTAAACTGCAACCATAACCCTAAACCTTTTTCAATACCCAATCACAATCTTAGTCCTAAACCCAAATTGAAGCCCAAGTGCAACCATGTCCTAAAATCTAACCAAAAACTAAACTGCAAGCCAAACCCTAAACCTCATCCAATACCCAACCAGAACCCTAGCCCTAAACCTAACCTGTAGCCCAAACTCAAACATGTCCTGAAACCTAACCAAAAACTAAACTGCAACCATAACCCTAAATCTAAACTAAACCCCAATTGCAACCCTACATGGGTGGTGAAAGGAAACCTGAAGTAAATGTTGGAATAGCATGACAGGTATCAAAGTCATAAATCTAGGCCTCGAAAACAGTATCATAAAGTCAAACCCATATTACTTTTATGTAAACAGCATTTATTTCTCTAGATATGATAGATAATCATTTTTAAAGAGGTAGAATTTGAACTAATGTCTTGTTTGCTATCTGCTCCCCACAGGAAGCAATGTAATTTGATAGTCAATAATTGATAGCTTGATCTACTTAGACTTCTCACCCCATTGTACCATGTTTAATGATACTTCAGATGGGTTCTTATCTCCCAGCGCGGGAAAACTTGTTTATTGATCTCCCAGCGCGGGAAAACTTGTTTATTGACTTTGTGCAATCTGCAGGGGAAATTAAATGGAACCCATAACTTTTCGATTATTCTGGATTGTAGGCATATGGACTAGGTGGAACCATCTAAAAGCAAAATACTTTAGAATCCTCAGATTCTTTCAAAGTTTCTTGGTGATGTTTTCAATATTCTCAAGCATAAGAAAATGGACTCGCACCAAGCTCCAGATTAAATTATTTCTCATACATCTTCTCGTAGTCTAAGATCATCACATCACGTTCTTCAGATCCTAAGAACAAGAGTCAAAAGGGCTTTCTCGGCGGCAGCCCCCTTTTGTTTTAAAGGAACAAAGCACCTTTGCAGAGAACTACTATATCATCAGAGATTATAAAACCTGAGTTGAAACCCTACCTTCTTTAGCAAGGCTACACACAAGAATATGGCACTTTTTCTCATCAACTTTTGTGTGTGCCTCAGAATAGATTTTCTAGATACATGGTGCCAGGGGCATACGCAGGATTTTTTGAAGGGGGGGGTTTTAAAATATTTTGCTCCCGAAAATTTGAAAATCGACTCAGCCAGCCGAAAAGTCGCTCAGTGGGGGGGGGGTACGCGGACACTTTTTTTTTTTTTTTTGGTCTCAAAATTTCAAAATTTGACATTTTTCTTCGTTGGGGGGGGGGGGGGGGGGTAAGGTCATCTTATTTAGGTTAGCCGTGGGGATAATTTTTTTTTTTTTTTTTTTTTTTAATAATACAAAAAAAAAAAACAAACAAAGGGGGGGGGGGTTTTAGGTTTTTTTAGGGGGGTTTACATACATTAAAATACCAAAGGGGGGGGGGGTTTGAACCCCCAAAACCCCCCCCCCCCCCCTGCGTACGCCCCTGCATGGTGCAATACAATTGCCTATCATTATTATTATCATCATAACTCAGTGACTGTGAAAGCGTCAAAATCACATCAATTCCAGGGTAAAAAGTGCACAGGGGCTCTGGGCGTATTAGCCCCAGGACCCGGCCCCCCCCACTCCTTTTTATTTAGGGTACGCATATGCATGTACCCTCCTTTTGAAAACACCCCCCCCCCCCCCCCCCCGAAGTCCGATGTGTAAAGTCAATACGGGCCGGATTGTTGTGTACTACCAGCCGGACTTTGGTGCGTGAAAAGTACCTCTTTACCGGACATTTTGGGAACATGCTTGGTATCCCTCCGTTCACGGAGCGGGGGGGGGGGGGGGGCCAGGAATGCCAAAAAGAGCCCTCGAAAATCATAAAACACTGTGTTTAAACCGCTTCAAAGTTTACAGGCAGTCTAGGGCGGTTCAGTGACTAAAGGGTTAAAAAAAAGAACATTACAACTTTAATCAAGTGTAAATTACTCATCAAGTATAAGTTTGAATTGCAACATACATGAATGAATGAATGACACAAAAGATTAACTAGTTTTTGAACAAATGTGTGACTGTGAGCCCCACTTGTCAAATATTTGCTTGAAGCAATGTCAAGTTTAATTGTTTTATAATTTATTACAACCGCACGAATGAAAAACATCCGGACTTGAGTGTTTGTTGTACGTGACTTTGGATACTTTAATCTTGTATGCATGAATTGGGAATTATTGCCCAGGGCAAGGGATCGAAATCATCTAGTGAAATACAAGAGCCATGAGTTTATCAGGCGAAATATTAAGCAGATTTATACAACATACAATGTAGGTGCTCTTGTCAGTTTCTGTGATATGTAAAAACTACATGTGGGTTGTGAATCTGTAAAGCATTATTTTATTGTGATTTTTGTTGTCTTTACCTTATTTTTTGCACACTCTATGTGCTGTCATTTTCTGTAAATAGTCTGAATAAGGGTAGAAGTAGTATTATCTTCTCATCTTTGGTAGGATGCGACCGTCATTGTTGGTCAAACAGTTTTTGAGCGTCAAGTAATGCCAGGCTGGAATGCTCCCCAGGGAGTGGAGATTGTGCACCCAGTGTGTGCGGGCAAGTACTGAATCCGATGACCGGGGTAATAGCATATCTGTAAAGCGTTTAGAGACATTGCAGGCAGGCTTTACTACTTCAGCTAGAAGGGATTAGACCACCCAGTGAGCCAGCGAGGTCACTGTGACAGGTGGCTATCTCATTAACTCAGCTCTCATTTAACATAAGAAAAAGAGGATCATGGGGGACCAACAGGCACCGATTGGGGAAGTTTTCTATATAGAGGGAGTGAGTAGCTACAAGTAGGACAGTGTGCCTTTAAGCGCTATATAAAAGCGGAATATTATTATATTTCAACTTGAATATTTGAATTTGATCAAGCATGATCAAAATTGTAAACGTGCATATTACTCATCAAGTTATATAGGTTGAATTGCAACATTCACATGCTCTGAGCTTGCTACTAAGATGAGTAAACAACTTTTGAACAAGTATACCAGTGGAAGAACAATTGCATGAGTCTTACTTCATTGTCAATATTTGCATTAGATGGGAATTGTAAAGAAATTATATTGCTTTTATCAGCAAGGCAGGAAGAGAATACATCCGGAGAGGAGTCAAGTGTTTGACTCTTGTCATTTGTAATACCCTAATTTTTTTATTTATTATTTTGCGGAAGGGGTGTCATTGTCCACATACATTTGTTAATTGTTGTGAAATGTAGGAGGATTGGGCTCATACATTTACTTAGGGCAAAATATCTGAAAAGTTTTGTAGAGCCAAACTTCCTATACATTTCTATAAAAATAAATTCTCTCGAGCATGATTTTTACATCTTATAAGCTTTGATTGAGCTCCATTGTTAAACAGTTAATTCATTTTATCACAGTAAGACATGTTTCAGCTCCAGCAAATGTTCTTTAGCAGGTCTAGGAACACAATTGTTTTACACAAATAAATGAAGCTATTTCTATTATTATTACTAATCCATCAATATCACTGGGGTTCTAGTACTATAAATACAGTGTATAGCAGATTCAAAAAGAGCTCATGTGAAAAACAATTAATTTTTTCACTGATTAAAGATGAAGTTGAGTTCTGGTCATGTGATTGCATTGTCAAAGAAATGGTGTGGAACCGACCAGAAAAGGTTGATCATCTAGCATATAAGAATTCGTGTGTATTGCAAGGTTCTGGAATCATCAAAATGATAAGAAATTTGGCCAAGTCTTGGTAAAGTTACAAACACTTGCACAGAAAGATGTATATGGGACTACACGAACACGTGGCGTAAAAAGCCGGCCCCCCGATTTTTACGATGTTACATGCATATTTAGAATATGAAGGCATTTGAAGAGCCATGCTTTTCAGGGAACATGTCTTAACTGATGTTCTTCCACACTTGCATAATAAGAATGAGTAATGCTCACAAATTATTTTTCACCTCTTCCCAGAACTCAACCTTCTCTTTAAGTGCCATCAAATGCCAATGACTTGCAGAGTAACAGCTTCAATAGATTGCAACATACATACAGTCTGATACGTAACAAGATACACAATAGTTGACGATCTGTTTTTATGAATTCCAATTGTCAAATATTTACCAAGAGTAGTCCAAATTGCAATGTTATCATATTGTTTTTATCAGTAAGGCAGGAAGGAAAAACATCCGGAGATGAGTCGAGTATTTGACTTGGGTGACCTAGGGACTTTAATCTTATGTTGATGAATTCATTTGGAAATGTCTGTAGGGTAAAATTTGGATGGATTCATATTTTTTCTAAGACCAATGTAGCAACATGTAAAAGCAGTAGGTGCAATAGGCCTATAATTGAAACAAACATGTATAAACTAGAATAATATTTGTCTCAAATTTTTACTTGAGCTCTGTTGAGAGATCACAATCAACAAGGGAATGAAGTGAAAACAAAAACAGAAACAACAACATCAGCAACAAGATGAAAAACAAACAAATAACAAACAAAAACAGATATTAAGTATACCTTCATTGATTTATAATGTCATATATTGACCAACAAAAGCATTAGACATTCTTTCTGTCTTTTGGTATTGATTAAAGTGCTCATTTTTGTCTGGAAACTTGGTTAATGCATATATTTTACAATGATGGTACACTGAATGTGCATGTTTTCTGTAAAAGTTTAATATTATGTACATTTTAATGTATAACACTTTCTGTGATGAAGGTGCTCCGATCATGTATTTTTGAACTGGTATTTTATTCAGTCGATTAATTCTTTTAAATAAATCTCTTACACAGACAGGAAATCTCGCTCTCGATCTGAGTCATCCAGTCTGACCCTAGCCTCGAAGGCAAGTCAAAGGTCATCCTCCAAGAGGTCATCGCAGAAGTCATCACTAAAAAGGTCGTCAGGTCGAGGAGATGTGGCTGATGGACGGAGTCTGGAGGATCGGCCGTGGTACTGCGTGTACTACGATGCCGGAGAAGACGTGAAGTCTCAGAGCAGTGAAATCTACAGCGTGCAGGTCAGTAGGGTCTAGAATACAAACCCTCACGTGATCTATGGTCATTTTCGCAATTAAACCTTGTGTCAACTCCTTCTTATGGTCATCGCTCTTTTTGCAAAGCTTCTGCTGGACTGAACAAACTACCTTTACAAGTCAAAAACTGTCAGACTGTCAACCAATTCAAAACTTGTCTTAAAGGGATCGTTTAACAATGTTAAATCTGTGATGCACGGCCCTACGTGTTATGAGTGTCTGTGATATAAATGGTGTTGTATTGAAGCCCTAAAAAAATTGCGCTTCAAAATGATCAAGAAGTGCCTCAAAAAAGTAAAAACCTTTGAGTGACCGGTTTTACCATAATCGTTCGTCACAATAGACTGTAGTGTTATGAAAACCGTTTGGCAAACACAAAATTTGATTTCAATTTTCAATGATAAATATCTTGATAATCAGACAGACGATCGGCTTGTAAAAGTCATGGGCTTCCTGACTGACCTAAAGGTTTCTTATTATCATTGCAGCATGAGCTAAATCGTCCTTGTTTTCACGAAGTGATGGTAGTGAGGAAAATCGTCACGCAAAGTGAATGCAATTTTTTCCCTACCGTCACTTCGTGAAAACAGCGACGAAATGAAGGATTTTTTTTAAGGATCTAAGACAAAGTTACCGGATCCCTTTGAAGCCCCACTGCACTACTTATAGTTACTTGCTCCCTCTATATAATGAACAATGCCTACTCGGTGCTTGTTGGTCCCCCATGCGCCCCTTTTTCTTATGTTAATTGAGAGCTGATTTGATGAGATAACCACCCATCAGTGACCTTGCAGGGAGGTCTAATCCCCCTGGCCAAACTAGTGCACACAGGCTTTAATACTTGCTTCTTGTTTCTCTCTCTCTCTCTCTCTCTCTGCATGATATGCACACAATCTTCACTCTGGGGGGCAATTTCACACTCTTTCATTCCTACTTGCTCCTTAATAATATACCTTACCTATATAGCGCATATTTACAACATGTCTCTGTGCGCTGTAAGAAAGAGCAAGAAGGAAAGGTGGATAGAGTAACATAAGAAGAGTGAAATATGCTCAACTTCCTCTTGTTAACTCTCTCTTTCTCTCTCTCTGTTTGCAGGGTAAGGAGACGGCCGTTGTGACGGATACCTCTGATGATCTCTGGTTCATGGATGATGAGCGCTTCTCTGTAGAGTACGAGGTGGAGGATTCGGAGTCAGAACTAGAAAGCAATGACGCATTGTCAGACTCCACCACAACAGAGGCTGAGGTACGCATTTAAACTCTCCTGGGGGGCGTTTCACAAAACTTGTTATCAGTGACAAATGACAGTTTTTGTGATAAGCTACTGAATTCCTTGCTTCTGATTGGTTATCAGCAGATTTGTCACTGATTTTTGTCATTTGTCATTGAAAAAAGGCTTAGAGAAATCCCCCCCCCCAGTTTTAAACATTCATGTGCTAGGATATTCACTTAGAAGTGATCTAGATTCATGCAAGTTTTATGATGCAAGAGTAAAGAATTACGACATTGTCATTTTTCAGTGAATATGGTTGTTACTAACGATTTGTGAAAGTTGTGTTTACTAAAGTTTTCTGGATTTTGGCATCCTTAAAGGGTTTTGCCAGCTTTTTTTCTTCTTCCTCTGGCTATCGGCATCACATACACCTACAAGTATCAGGTACACTGCCTTTTATCTTCACAAGTAGGGACACACTTCACACATTAGGGACATAGAGAGTGCCAGTCTCAAAACCAAACAATATCTGTTCATACATGCTGAACATAGGTCATCAAATCAAAATCCTATTGAAAACCAGAAAGGTGTAAAAATAAAATATAAATTGCAGCCTAATCTTGTTATGTAATCATGTGTTGATGGTAGGTGTAGTATTTAAAATGTCTGAATTTGAGTCTGGACTAAGTGCGCCTTGTCTGCCATTTGTATTAATTTACACATGTGTCATATTTTTCTGCTAGATCTTTGTAGAGGTTGATGACCTGGGTAGTTCTAGTGATTCAAGGTTTGCAGATGAGGATACCACAGACTCAGAAATACCTGAAGAGGTAAGTAGAACACCAAGATTTGGTCAATCTCTCTTTTTAAAGCCCCACTGCACTTCTTATAGCTACTTGCGCCCTCTTTATAGCAAACAATGACTAATCAGTGCCTTTTGGCCCCCCCATGATCCTCTTTTTCTTATGTTAATTGAGAGCTGATTTGATGAGATAACCACCTGTCAGTGACCTTACAGGGAGGTCTAATCCGTCCTGGCCAAACTAGTACAGACAGGCTTAAAAGCAGGCATTTGTTGTGCAATTTAGCCTGCAGACAATTTTCGTGCATCTTACTACATGTTAGGACATGCAGTAAAGCTTATACTCATTTACTTCTATTTTGCAAGCTTTACACTATGTGGGATATTACCCTAAATAAGTGGTGGACCCCTGTTGAAATCTGCCATTCCTGTTACAGTGTCCCACCCCATCAAAGGAAAGATAAATGAATAATTGGAGCAATAATGGCTCATTGGCTAAGCTACAAACCAGTCGCTTAATGCGCTCATTTCTAAATTACATGTGCGTAAATCTGTATTGTAAATGTAAATGTAAATGTGTAATGTGTGATGATCCAATGTAAATGTAAATGTGTAATGATCCAATGTTATGCTCTATATGTCATTTGAAAGAAAGACGAATAAAATCTTATCTTATCTTAAAGAGAAGGTTGAGTTCTGGGAAGAGGTGAACAATAATTTGTGAGCGTTATCATTGTTATTATGCAAGCGTGGAAGAACATCAGATAAGACATGTTCCCTGAAAAGCATGGCTCTTCAAATGCCTTCATATTCTAAATATGTCATGTAACATCGTAAAACTCGGGGGTGGGATTTTTACGCCACGTGTTCGTGTAGTCCCATATACATCTTTCTGTGTACAGTGTTTGTAACTTTACCAAGACTTGGCCACATTTCTTATAATTTTGATGATTCCAGAACCTTGCAATACACAGAAATTCTTATATGCTAGATGATCAACCTTTTCTGTTGATTCCACACCGTTTCTTTCACAATGCAATCGCATGACCAGAACTCAACTTCATCTTTAAGGGGCAGTCAACTGTGACCTGACTGTTTGTGTTAGGTGCTATTGGTATTCATCCAATCTGTCCGACCGATTATTAGTAAAATTCTCTGTAGCTGGGAATAATAATTTTCTTGTACGCTGCATTTCACATGATAATATAATGTCTCCATGGGCTTCCTAAGGACTCTGGGTGTTATCATCCTGGCTTCGTCTCAGGGAACGAATGGACTAAAATTCTCCAGAGCTAAGAAAATGATTTAGTTTTCATATTTTATAATGCAATTCTGTGGCCATTGAGTGACATTCTTACAACATTAGCAGACCTGCCAACTAGTACGATTCAATTGTATTTCGTACTATTTTTCTTTAAAAAAAAAAAAATTTCACCAAAAAACAAAAACATTTTCAATGACAAAATGCCCATTCTGTCCTGTAAAGTATCGTACGATCATCTCACATGGGTAATTTGGGGATGTTTATTGGTTCATCGAACACACCAGTCATGACAAAATCATGAATATTCAACCAATGATCCATACAAAAATTTCTTCCTATATGTAGGAACTGTAAGAGGCATTGATCCGTGTCTTTAACAAAAACACTGTTTTTCAGTAAAATACAACTTTTGGGACTAAAAAATGAACTCTAGAGGTTGGCAGGTCTGCATTAGCTGAGGGTTGAAGTTTGAAGTATATACAAGTAGTTTTCTGTCCAGGCTTTGATTTTGAAATGTACCATGTTTACCTCTGATTTCCAAGGATAAATGGAAGTGCGCCGAGTGCAGCCAAGTAAACAACCCAATGCATGGCTACTGTTCTTTCTGCTGGGCTAGGCGGTCTGGCTGGCTTGCGGATGAAGACAGGAAGAATCCTACCGAGAGGTTAGGTGACAAGCATGTACTCAGAAGAGCCTTCTCAGCACCTGGTAAGACCCGGGACCTGTTTCACAAAGCCTTTTTTCAATGATAAATAACAAGAATCAGTGACATATCTGTTGATAACCAATCAGAAGCAAGGATTTCAGTAGCTTATGGGTCTGTTCACGAAACTGGGAAACACTTATGTCTTAATTTGTTCATTTCTTTGTCATATTCATGACGATATTTTAATAAAATAAAGAACTTTTTCAACTATTTGAAGTCTCTGTGTAATTTGTCAGTGTATAAGGTACAGGAAAAGTAATAGCTGAATTCACATGTTCTCTTCCTTTTTTCCCTTTAATATCTTTATTTTGCGGTGTCCGACGTAATATTATGGTGTCCAAGCGTGACAAGAATAAATACATTACTTCAACTTAGTTTTCCCTCCATAGAAATTCTTTGAGAATGAATTCCCCTAATACAAACCGTAGACCTAGGTTCCATCTTCCTACTATATTTTTGTGACTCGAAATATCATCGGCCTTTTGAGTGAAAAAGAGATCGCAAATCTTGCCGTTGTGGACGTAACTTCGGAGCCGTCATATATTTATTAGTTACACCCACAACAAGGACCTGAAATTACACTTTAAGCTGAATTCTAAATTACATAATAACTGTAGGCCATTATTAATTTGAGGCCTAAAAAACTGGAGAATTATCATAGATCAATCCCGTTTCATGTTCAAGAAATATCAAAAGATAGTCCGAAAGGTAACCGTTGTGTCCGGTGCGGCTTCGTTACGCCCACTCATCTATTATCACGGCAGAAAGCACACTTCCGCGATGTAGAAGTCAAGCTACCATGGAGCCTCTGAAGTCATAGTGGGGAACCCGTTCATGACTGAAAAGCTTCCTCGCAAGTACTTCGCGGGGAATTTTTGTATGAAAATCTGCTTGTCGTCCGCGAATTACGCCCGCGATACCTCCCAACATGTCGTCTGCAAGCTGAATGCACGCTCCACTTTGCATCATCAAAAGACCCTTTTTTCGGTACGTACGTTCAATTGTCTACAATTATTATTCAGATGAAAACTCTTAGATTCTTTTATTTGTCATTTTCTTACTTTTTTTTAACCACTGAATGATTTTTGGGGGACGAGATTTAACGAAATTCGCGGTGCTTGAAAAGTTGAAGTTAGCCCAGTCCCACTAGTTACTTTTTGTGTACGGTTTTGCTGCCCTGAGGATGGCAGTTCGGCAAGTGTTACTCTTTCCAAGTTTCAGTATCTTTCAATGCCGGCTCGTTGAATGTGTTTTTATTGACTTTATTGTTATCTACGGAATTTATAATTATTCATTAATGATTTCACAGCAAAGAACAATAAAAGCCCTAACTTTAAGAATTTACCCCACAAAATACCGACCTTCCCGTGGTCGTGGACTGCACTGTGAGGGATGCCCTGAACTAAGCGGTAAGCCTAGGCTATAAGGTCGGCATCGCCACACTCGCTCTTGTTTACAAACAAAACAAAATCATTCCGGTATGTCATGATGTGGCGGATTTAGGGGGAGGGGTACTTCCGGCCCGTGTGCCCCCCCCCCCCCCCCCCTTGGAAGAAAAGTGTACATTGTGCCCCTTTTGGCAATATTTTGGATTTTTTTTTAAGGATTAGAATAGGGTTAAAACTTAGGAAATAAGGGTTTACTTTAGGGTTATGGAGATTTGTGCTCCCCCCCCCCCCCCCCCCCCTTTTACAAAATTCTGGATCTGCCCCTGATGTCATGAACCGCAAAATGCATTGAAATACAGATAAATGTACTAACAATCATTCTTGACCGATCAGCTTTTGTTGGACAATTTCACAGCTTATCTTCAATGATAACCAATTTATTTCATTCTATTTAAATAGTCTAGATCTAGGGGTCTAGATCTAGACTAGTCTAGCGACTAGATCTATTTTTTTTTTTTTTTTTTTTTTTTTTTTTTAATCCCTTCACCCCCAAAGGGGTATGTTAAGAACCAAAAATGCATTAGAATAAAGATAAATGTACATGTACTCACATTTTGGACTTCAATTTCAAAGGCAAGGCTTCACCTTTCATCACAGTTTCACAGATTCCTTTCTTCATTTTCAATGCAAAATTGAAGGGCTTTTTTTTTGTTTATGCCACCGCCCCAGGGGCTATAGGCACATATGACACGGGGGGCTCCCTTTTTTTTTGGTGGGGGGGGGGGGGGGGGGGGGAGGGGCTCGTCATCTCGCCACCGCCAAAAATGCACCAGGGAAGATACGGGCAAGAAATGTTATGCCCTCAAATATGAAATGGTCCCATACGCCTATGTTGAGGCATGTTTTCGGGTTGTCTGTCCATCCGTCTGTTTTGTTTCTCATGAATGGGAGTTAAGGAAAACCCCTTTAAATCTGTCTCATATGATAGGTGGGGGGTGGGGTCATCAAGTATGCTTAGTGTAATTTATTCAAAATAAATAATTATTTTTAAAGCCTTTTTGGGGGGTTATCTGATCTACACAGAATTTTGAAACTCATTTAAAACAAATTATGCTAATTTATGCTTGCATGTATTTACTTTTTTTTTTTTTCAATTTCAGATAACATGCCTCCACCTCTCAAGCTACGGCTCCGAGGATACTTGAACAATACTGGTGTGGATACCTCTTTGGATGCGTGCTCCTCATCAGCTATCCCAAAGAAATCATCTGCCCTGAGATCCGAGAAATTCAGAGAAGAACTAAAGAAGGATCCAGAAAGATACAAAGCTTTCTGTGCCAAAGATGCTGCAAGATCAGGAAATCGTCGGAAACATATGACAAAGGAACAACGAATCCATTACAATCACATGGCTAAGCTTCGAATGAGGAAGAAAAAAGAAAGTGATAGAGAGAAGACAAAGAATGACAAAACTAAAACGACATGTAAAACACGTGCAGGGAAGAAACAGCAGGAAGAGAGACGAGAGAAAGACAGATTACGGAAACAGTTGAGGCGTGAAAGTATGACAGCAGAGGAAAGAGCAGCAGTAAACAAGAAAAGAAGAGAGCAACGTCTGCAGAAACAGCTAGAACTGCAACAAATTAGATTACAAAAAAGAGAACATGCACTTAGAATTGAACAACTAGAACGGGAGAAAAGAGAAGTACAAGAAAAACTGAGAAAAGAGAAGAAAGCTGAAAAAGAGAAGACAAACATTGCCAATGAACAACGTATCACAAAGAGAAGAAGATTTGAAGCAAGGAGAAAAGCCATTCAAAGAGCTCGTGCAGGTCTGCCAAAGTCTCCATCCAAATTCGCTAAGACTGTAGCAGATGTCATAAGTTCAGCAACTCCAAGGAAAAAAGAAGCACTGAAGAACAATAGAATTGGCAGTGTGGATGATGTTGAAAAAGTCTTCACTGAATCAGTTGCTGAAGAAATGCGATCAATGAGGAAACAGAGATCCATCAAGAACTTGGAGTGGAAACGGTCTTTGATGCCCATGATCAAAAAGATGAAACAATACAAACTTCAGAGGAGAGCTAGCAAGTACTTTGGTGTTACATCAAAGAGCATAAACAAAGCAAATGAAATCCAGAGAAGAAAAACCAAGAAAGCTCTTGATCAGGCTGTCATAAACAAAGTTGTCAGTTTTTATGAGAAGTCCTCTGTCACCCTGGCAGATAAGAAGCTAATTTCTAAAAGAACATTGAAAAAAACAGCATTCTTGCAAAGGCCCATTAGAATTCTCTATGAGAACTTTAAAGCTGAAAATCCATCACTTAAGATCGGGCTGACGAAGTTTGCAGCATTGAGGCCACGTAATATCAAACCTGTAGGGTCTATAAAGTTTCAAGGTTGCCTGTGTACCTATTGCTGTAATGTTGATCTGAAGGTGGCAGCACTGAATAAACTTGCAAACTCTTACAGCATGAAGTCTATGTTCGAAGGCGTGTATGGTGTATATAATGCAACAATGTGTCCCAAGGGTACACAGAAATATCACAAGTCTTCATGCATCCAAAGAAGATGTGGCAGCTGTGGAGTTCACTTGTTGATTGATCAGTTGACTCCGCTCATCCAGCAACATGGTGGAAAAGAAATCTCTTGGAGAAAGTGGGAACGAAAAACTGTCAATGCAGGTGGTAAAGATGTTGTTAGGCAAGAACTTGTTACAAAGACAGGTAAACTTGAAGACTGTATCTCCGAACTGCAGGACGAGGTTGAACCACTGAGTACTCATCTATTTCATGCCATGTGGCAACACAGTCAGTATTCTCAGTTGAAGTCTTCACTACCCAAGGGATGGGTGCTAATGGTGGCAGATTTCGCAGAGAATTACACCTGCCGAAATCAGCAGGAGATTCAATCAGCACATTGGTCGCATAACACCGTGACAATACATCCAATTGTTTGCACGTATCACTGTCCCAAATGTGATGAGTTGATGGATGAATCATTGATATTCATCACAGCTGATGTAAAACATGACTACAATGCAGTTAATACTTTCATGTGCACATCAGTGGAATACCTCCAAAACAAACTGACAGATGTTCAACAAATTGTCCGATTCTCAGATGGCGCAGCATGCCAATACAAGAGCAAAGGCCCTTTCACCGATGTTGCCATGGCTGACACTGTTTACAAAGTTCCAACAAGTTTTCACTACTACGGGTCGTGTCATGGAAAAGGACCCAGTGATGGGGAGTCTGCTGTGGTGAAGCGGTCAGCATCACAGGCTGCCTTGGCTCGCAATGTGGTGATGAACACTGCTGAGGACTTATTTCTGCATTGCAAAGAGATTGCCATAAAAGATGATGGAACTGAAAGCTGCCTGCACTTCCAGCGTACAATATTCTTTGTAGAGAAGATTGATCGTGACAGAGGGTATGAAAGTTGTGACATCAGAACACTGAAGGGGACACGCAGTTTGCACGCCATCAGAGGCAATCCACAAGGGGTTGTTTGGTCTCGAAATGTGTCCTGCTTCTGCCAAGCATGCCTGACTGAAGCATATGAAGACTGCTTGAACAAAGAGTATGTAGATGACTGGAAGGAATCTGTCATCTTTACCAGACCTCCCAGGATATCTGTGACTGGTAATTGAAAATTATTTTTGTTAAATTGCAAGTCCAGTTGAAACTCTAGTACAGGCATGCCTTAACATAATAAGCACACTATAAGAAAATTCTGATATGAGCAAAATTTGGGCACACAAAAAGAAACATGAGGAAATTAATGCTTGTAACAAGTTTTTATTATATCAAGCATATTTTTGTGGTCTGATGATCATATTACAACAGGGTTTGCCTCTATACTGTATGTCAGAAAAAAAAAGGAATGGCAGAGTTTCAATATTTTGCAGTCCATGTTTTGGCTTCTTTGGATGAACCATCTTCTGAAAAGAACGATTATCAAGATCATCGAATTGGGTTTTATTACTTTTATGGCTGTTTCTTTAAACATCTCATTTTAAAATTTAATTTAATTTGAGCTGGTTAAGCTTCAATGATTTTAACCATGAAAGATTTTAACCGCTGTGGCCAGCATATACATTCTTTGTTTGTACTGATCATTGGGCTTCCCTGAATTAATGTATGGACGGCCACAAAGGGTAAACTCCTTACTCAATTGGGTATAATCTCTTTATCATTTTCTAGGACATGAGATGCAACATTGTTGAATTCTGGCCAGACTGTTTATGGTTCGAGTACTTCAAAAGAATCATAAATTTTTATCTTTCAAATGTTCCATTTCCCCGTTTTTATTTTTTTTAAATTAAATTTTATTTTTTTACAGCTGGAATTGAAGACAGTGTGCCCCCTCGTGCTGATTCTTCTGATGTGCCACCTTGTGCTGCATCATCTGATGTGCCCCCTCGTGATGTGCCCCCTGCTGCTGCATCATCTGATGTGCCCCCTCGTGATGTGCCCCCTGCTGCTGCATCATCTGATGTGCCCCCTCGTGATGTGCCCCCTGCTGCTGCATCATCTGATGTGCCCCCTCGTGATGTGCCCCCTGCTGCTGCATCATCTGATGTGCCCCCTCGTGATGTGCCCCCTGCTGCTGCATCATCTGATGTGCCCCCTCGTGATGTGCCCCCTGCTGCTGCATCATCTGATGTGCCCCCTCGTGATGTGCCCCCTGCTGCTGCATCATCTGATGTGCCCCCTCGTGATGTGCCCCCTGCTGCTGCATCATCTGATGTGCCCCCTCGTGATGTGCCCCCTGCTGCTGCATCATCTGATGTGCCCCCTCGTGATGTGCCCCCTGCTGCTGCATCATCTGATGTGCCCCCTCGTGATGTGCCCCCTGCTGCTGCATCATCTGATGTGCCCCCTCGTGATGTGCCCCCTGCTGCTGCATCATCTGATGTGCCCCCTCGTGATGTGCCCCCTGCTGCTGCATCATCTGATGTGCCCCCTCGTGATGTGCCCCCTGCTGCTGCATCATCTGATGTGCCCCCTCGTGATGTGCCCCCTGCTGCAAGCTCTTTGACTTTGCCATCAGGTACAGTGAAACCTCATTATAAAGAGGTCGGATGTAACGAAACTCTGTCAATAACAAAGTAATTTTGCTGTTCCCACCTCTTTATATTTTGGGTTTTTTTGTACCCTGATATAACAAGAAACATGATATGTACATGTAGCAAGGTAATTTTCATGGTCCAAAGGCCCTTGTTATAGCGGGGTTCCACTGTACATGATAATGCATGACTTATTACAGAGTTATTAAGGGATGACTCAATTACTTCAAAATTACAATTACAATTATGGATTCAATTACAATTGCAATTCATATCAGATTCTGATCTTAAGTTTGCATGAGCAGTAGTATTGCCAAATTGTTTGATAAATTTAGATTGAATATTTATATTCCTTTGTTTTGTCTTCTTCCATTTCAGGTTCCACATTCAACCCTTCCAGGGTTGTAGTAGGAGACTTTGTCGTCATTGCGGTGCAAGGCAGGAAGAGGAAAATCCCCTACCTTGCAAAGGTAATTTTCCTTCGAGACATAAATTTAAACCTGATCATCACGCCAAAAGTGTGCTTTAAATGTAGTTTTATGTTATATCAGTGAATTTTTCATCATGATGAAGAAGTCATGTGTTGAATTTATAAAAAAAAATTATAGTGGAACTTACAGGTATACGCATTTCAATCATAATTACAACAAAATCATCACATTATTAGATGTGATTATATTAAATCATTACAACGTATCAATCACATTACAACAAAAATAAAATTGCGATCCAATGACTATGTTAACTGTGAACTGAACAAAAGCTAGAATTGAATGTTATGCTGGAATAAGAATCACTTGAAATCTATTAATGAATTATTGGAAATTTATATGAAAAATTATTGGAAAGTTATATCACCAGCCAGTGATCAGATTAATTCATATCCTTCTTTTGTTCATCTTGCAGGTTCTGGGAGCAAATAGTGAGCGTAAGGAGGTGAAAGTTTCCTACTTAGATGAAGTTTCCCCATCGGTCTTCTCCTGGCCATCCATCGCTGATAAAGTATATTGGCATCCCCTTGCCGATATGGTGGCATCGATGGGAATACCCTCTGTCAAAGGAACTGGCTCAAGATTGAAACTTACTTTCAAAGATCTCTCTGCTCTTCAAGTTTATAGTTCTGAGCACTAGGTGATATAGCCTATAATCTAGGCGGAGTGCCGAGCTTTTTTCTTTGCTGCTAGACTAACCCTAAGCAGAACGTCTGATACGGCAAGACTACGAACCGTGAGTCGCGAAGCGGCTCACCGCCTATAATCACTGGTCTATTCATGAGGTTTTTTCGTACGAAAAACTGCCACGGATTCATGGTCGATAATAAAAAAACAACGACTAAAGCTAGACCAGTGATTATAGGCGGTGAGCCGCTTCGCGACTCACGGTTCGTAGTCTCGCCGTATCAGACGTTCTGCTTAAGGTTAGTCTAGCAGCAAAGAAAAAAGCTCGGCACTCCGCCTAGATTATAGGCTATAGGTGATACAGTTACTGCTCTGAAGAGCAGAGAGATCTTTGAAAGTAAGTTTCATGAATTATTAAAGATTGATTAATTAATCCTAATTTGGTCAGCCAAAATACAGTGGAAACTCACTATGACGAGGTCCTTGGGACCATGAAAATTACCTTGTTATATCAGGAATCTCATTATATCAGTTTTAAAAAACAAAAGAACATAAAGACTTGGGACCAGCAAAATTACCTTGTTATATCAGGAATCTTGTTATATCTGAGCTCTTTATACTGAGTTTCAACTGTACCAACTTATGCCTATGTATTGATATTGAATAGCATTTTGTATTTATAATTCAGTGAAAATCCATTTTCTTATTTCAATCTCGCAATTGAATGAAGCAGATAATGAAAGTTTTCTGGTTTTCAGCACACAAACAATATTGATGTTAAAGCTGTTTTTACCCTATGGTCAGTAGGTTATGGAGGTGTTTGTCAGACAGGATGTGTTGTGATGGGTCCGAGTTACATCGAAAACTAATATTGGTCTTTTTGTAATAATATCGACAACAGAAAATATTGTATGCCTTGTATAGAGTTGTCTAGTTTCATGAAGAAAAAAAAAATGATTGCAATTTAATAACGTTTTTGCATTTTTGTCTTCCTTGTAGAAGCTCCTTCCATATTAATGTGGATGTAACTGGACACTGTGCTTTTGTTCTAGTTACATCCACAACCAAGTTGAGTGATTTATTAAAATGTTATTGTTTTAAAAAGTGTTTTCCACCTCTAGTTACTAAAATTAAAGCAGAACCCATTATTGAACCTATAATACTTGAAAATGTGATTAATATTTGAAATTTGTTGAATCCCTCACAGAAGTGATGCATGGATTTGATTACATAACTGAAAACTAATTTGTATAGAAAAGAATAAAAATGTGACTTGCATGTTATTTTTTCAATCAATTGGCATATCTGGTTGTGGATGTAACAGGACACCCTGTCCAGGCTCTATTTGTTACATCCACAACCAATATGTGAGGTATGGCTTAACTGTTTCATGCCAGTTTGTAATTTGACGATAACAAGATTCTAAGTATAATGGACTTTGTTTCTCATACTGCAGAAATAACCTGTTTTGTGTCTAAGGTAATATTTTTGGGCAAACTTAGGTAAATCGTGTTGTGGATGTAACTGGACGTGGCATCCGACTAGTTCCAGTTACATCCACAACACAAATTTTTAAAGTGGCTTGGTTTAGTTGTTTGAAGTTACACTAGAATGTTGTTATATTCAAAAGATATTACAAGGAACAAGACACATGAACTCAAGGTTAGATCAACCATTGTTTGACATTGAGAGTTTAACAAGAACTTCTAACTGTGAAATTTCAATAAATTATGCTTGAAGTCAATGTAAAGGCATTCTTTTTTGTCTTTGAAGAGTGTTTATGACAATTTTAAAACTTTGCTCTCATTTTTTTTATTTAGTAGTGTTAATGCTTTGAGAGAGATGATTGAGATTGATAGTTCATGTTTTTCAGAGGAAATGGGGCCCCTTATTTGATAGTGTGGTGTCCCATGTTACATCCACAACACAAGCTGACATGATTATATAACCAGCATCATTAATGGTCTATCAAGGAAGTTGGCAGTAGAATCCTTGGTGATTCCATAAAGTCCATGGACTAGAGTACTGAGAAATAATAGAATGAAATCATAAAGAGTAACTTGAAATTTTACTTCCTATGTCACAGTTTGTGCCCCAACTTTGTGAACAGACCCATATAACAGAAACTGTCATTTGTCACTGATGACAAGTTCTGTGAAACAGATACTTGTCATATTTCGAATATGAGGTCATTTAAACAGCCATCTTGTTTATATAGGTGTCATTTTTTTTCTATGATACTCTCCCACACTAATATAAAGAGAATGAAAATGTTCATAAATTATGTTTTATATGTTCTTACATTTTGTTCTTGTAACTATTTAAATATACTTGTACATGCTTATTTTTTACTTTGTAAAGCACATAGAGAAACTTCTGTTTATTATGCGCTCAATAAATCTATCTTTATCTTTATTATTATTATTATTATTATTATTATTATTATTATTATTTCCTTTCCCAAAACTCAACCTTCTCTTTATACTAAAAGAATTTCATTTACTTCTCTTTCCAGCTGGATGTCGTCTTGACAACATCAATCAAGCCAGCATCCCAGGTGTGGTTTCATCTCCAGCAGACCATGCACCCTGTGCAAGCGACGAAGCCGGTACAGGACATCAAACGGCAAGACCGCACCGCTTCTACTCCCCACCCCAAGATTTTGCAGACGGGGGGAAGAGTGATGGTGAAGAGGACCAGCACCAGAGCAACGTCCAGGAGGAAAGGCACGTCTTCTGTCAGATATCCTCACCAGGGTTGACATCGTCCTTGAGACCTGTTCAAGGGATCTGGAGCCAGGATGTCAAGGTACCTACGACTTACCTTACCACAGTTCACGAGGCCTCTGAAGAAGCGATTCCTGCAGACCTTCATAGACACACTCCTGCAGCCTGTACTACCCTGATGGGGGGTGCGATCCAGGGGAACGAAGATCAGGGTGTCGGGAGTGATGTGTCCCAAAACACTCCAGGAGTTTCCGACACTGTGTCTCACCACTCTAGCGATAGCTCTGGGGATGTTGCAGGATGTACTCCAAGGAAAAGAAGAGCGTTACTGGTCACTAGGGAAGACTCTGGAGTATGCCTCAAGAGACAATCCTCTGGACACTCTGGAATGGATGAAGCTCGACCAGTTATCAAGGGTATTGTTCCAGTGACCAATTATCTGGTCCAGGCAACACCAACTATCACACCAACAGGTCAGTATGACTACAAGTTAATAACCATTGTCATTTGCATTAAGGACAACCACTCTTTAATTCTTTTCATTTTAATACATGTCTACTAAATCTTATCCTGTTTTGGATACATCTGGAAATAAATAAACTTCTAAATTGTGTGCACTTATATTTCTAGTAGCAGTGTTTCAATGAGAACAGCATTATGTGTACTACTTAAATGGATATAATCTAAATTTTTCAATTATCATTGAATAATGGTAAACGCTTCTTGATAGCTGGATTTCAAATGAATAGGTATCGTAATTTCATTGTTAAAAGGCCATCAGGGCAGATAATTGAATATTGATGTTACACCGTTGAGATTTAACAGTCATCATTTATTAGATCTTCTTTTACTTCCTTTTGTAGGCTGTGGACATGAGAAGATGATTTCACAGGTACCATGTCAAACAAGTTCCAGTGGCAGTTCATCTTTGGCAGGGGCACCAATGGCCACCCACAGTGTGTGTAGGACCCCAGTTATGTCACTGCTTACTGAAAAGACACTAGTTGGTCCTCACCAAAGCACATCTCTGTCATCGGCCCTACACCAAAGCACGACCCTGTCATCACCCCTACACCAAAGCACGTCTCTGTCATTGCCCCTACACCAAAGCACGTCTCTGTCATCACCCCTACACCAAAGCACGTCGCTGTCATCACCCCTACACCAAAGCACGTCTCTGTCATTGCCCCTACACCAAAGCACGTCTCTGTCATCGCCCCTACCCCAAGCTCTTAGAACCAAGTCCAACATCTCTCCTCTGGACGGGATCGGTAGCGGGTCCTCCATGGGCAGTGGGGCAGTTGCCAGCCACGCCCAAGAGCTGTGCCGGTTCTGCTGTGTGCGACCCAAGACGGCTTGCATCATTCATGGACGCACTGGACACCAGGTCTGCTGCTACAAGTGCGCCAAGAAGCTAAGGCGACGAGGTAAACCCTGCCCTGTGTGTCGACGCCCCATTCAGCACATCGTCAAGAATTTTTATGCGTGACAGAGATCATTGTTGTATCCTATGTAAAGGCGTACATGGAAAGTGCACAACTTATTCAATATATCTAGCTTTATTATATGTCTTTTCATGTGTATTAGGATCGACTGCTTCGTAGCAAACCAAAAACGCTTTAAAAAGCAATCCCTTAGTACCGTTGACTGGCGTTTAATCAACTCCCTGTTGATATTGCTGAAGAAGTGACTTTTTTTAGATGTCCACATAACTTATGGGTTGGTCTCTAAAATTGCATGAGAAAAGAATAGTATAGGATTATTTATTCTTATCCTAATGGAGTATTAAAATCTTTATTCTCATTGCTTTGAGAAATATACAGTATACCCATTGATCAATATTCAAATGAAATGTACTGCATGTGGCAATGATTTGGTTTGGGCTCTGAAATGCAGTATACATATGGCAACGTAAGCAAAGCCTGCAGAATGCAGTGGAGATCCCATCAAGTGGTTGGCTAGAACTGTGGTTGATACAGATCTTGGTTTCAACTTGAACAGTGGGTTTAGATGTTGTTTCTTTTTACAAATAATAATAGTTGTGATAATCTGGATATAAATAGTGCTTAATACAGCAACAATTTCTCAAACAAACATCTTACAATCCAACCCACAAGTCCCACATCTTCTCTAAAATTAAAATATTTGCTAATTTTGTGAGTGGTCCAGAGTCATGAATAGTTGAATTGTGGCCCTAATGTTGCGCAGTACACAAAATCCTTCTTTCTGAGACAGTTGTTGGTTGTGCACAAGGTCTAAATATTTGGCTACAGCTATATTTTCGAAGTCAGAATCAGGAACATCAAACACTTATGATTATCACCCTCATCAGTGTAACACACTGTTAGTTTCACAGTTGTAAAGAACCACATTACCCTGTTGCACATGAGGTTAAGCTTTGGAAAAATTCTTTGTAGAATACATTATTTTATCTTTTGGGCCACAATGAATACTCATGTTCTGCATAAGAAAGACATAATGATAATTTCTATGTTGTATTCAGGTGCTAGAAATTGTGTACATGTCTTATTTTGAATTTTTGAAAGTTGTGTCAGGTGTTTCAAGTTGTAAGAAGAGTTAGTCATTTTTGGAATTGTACAATTGAATCAAGAATTCAAGATGACTATATTTCTGTGTGTGATGTAGGAATGTGAACGTGCAAGTCAGTGAGGAAGAATTATCTTTGGAGAAAGTTTTTAGTCAATGTACCGGTATGTTGAAATATATTGAATTGCCAATAATCAAGAACCTTTGTGAAGGTTCTAGATGATGAATTATTTATTTACAAGTGTGATTTACTTTGAAATACTTCACTTTAGTAATAGAAATATTTATTTCAAGTTTGTTATTTCTGATTCGCTTGGTTTCTTTTTGAGTTTTGATATTCATATTAAAACAGCAATGGTCTGTTGACAAAAGACAGAAGAGTGTAACAAATGGTATACTTGAACCAGGTGGGTTCTGTTTCGTGAAAGTAATAATAGGTAGGTCCCCTTATATAGTGCAGCTACTATATGAATATACTCTTCTGCATTTGATAATGACATAGTATTACCCCGGCTGTAGCTTAGTCACCATGCATTCGCAGAATGTCTCCCTACCGGGTACCCATTTGATTTACTTAACCTGGGGGACATTTTACAAAACTTGTCATCAGTGACAAATGACAGTTTTTGTTTTAAGCTGAAATCCTTGCTTCTGATTGGTTATCAGCAGATTTGTCACTGATTTTTGTCATTTGTCATTGAAAAAAGGCTTTGTGAAATGGGCACTGGTTGGAGAGTGCCAAAGGACACTGGTTTCATGGCGTGACTCGAACTGTGAATCTTGTCATGTGATCCACAGTCTAGTGATGTATCCACTAGAGCACGACACCTCTATAAAGTCTTAAGGAATGTGAAAATTCAGTTTTCATTGGATTATGGCTGTGGCCCCCATGATAAATGGGAAATAGGTATTTGTACGTGTTTGGTTTACAACAATTTTATCAGAATGTTCTTGCTTTCTTCTCATGTTTGCATTTTTTTAGCCATTTAGACTCGCTTGTTTCCAATAGACAATTCTTTTTCTTCTTTTTTTCTTCTTCCTTTAAAAAAAAAAAAAAGTTCTTAAATTAAAAAAACCCATTGCTTACTGAAACCAGGTGGCTCCTTTAAGAAAGCATATGGTAATGAATGAACTCTTTAGCCAATGGCTTATCTCAAATTTCTTTTGCTTTGTTTTGTCTCAAGGTTCTTTACAAAACTCACTTGGTTATGGCTTTGGAAATAGAAGGGAGTATGTAGCCCATGAGACCTATCTCTGAAATACATCAAATCTTTTAGTGCAATTTTGTTGTGCTGTAATATATTTTTGATACATCCCCCTTTCACTGACTTACATATAGGTCCCAAAGCATACCTTTCTTGGACAAAACAACATCTACCACAGTGATTCAGGTTTCAGGCAAAGGCGTGAATTCAGGCCCTAGCAATTTATTTTTCGGCCATATTTTAAACTTTTGGTTTACAAAGTAGTCAATTCTTCAAGATTTTTGTGGTTCACTTATGAATTCTAACTTGTGACGCTGTAAGAGAATTTGATATATCTTGTCTGTTAAGGTATATTTGCCAAGGTCGTCCCTAACTTTGTATTAGCCATACACCAATGGGCCTAATTTGTTTTCATATCTCTCTATGGGTGTAATTATAACTCATATTCAAAAGCATAATACCATATATGTAGATACTTTACACACATCAAATAATGTTTTTGTTTGCACATTAAATGGAATGAATAGATCCACTCAGAATAAGTTTTGATTGCCTTTTTGCTCACTTGCGTAAGCTCTTTTGTACATTGTGTCCTATCTATTATGTACACTGTATTATATTTTTTAGTTTGTGGATTATTTTTCTTTGTAACAGTCAGTTTGATAATTGGCCTTGTAATGTTTGTAAGAAATGAGCAAGTTAAGTTTGGTTATAAGTTATAAGGCAAGGACATTTCCGTGTAGTATACAATTTCTGTATTTCGAAGGTGCCAACATTTATTAGTTATACACCAAACTTAGCTTGACATAAGGCATGTTCACATTTGATGCAGTAAACTGAAGCTTTGGGGGGAGGTTGTTTAAAAGGACGTAATGATAAATGTGGTTGACGTTTTTTGTATCTTGAAAGAAACAGATAAGTGAGTATGCATAAGATCTTTGTTGTACACAGCTACTCTTTTTCATCCATTCGAGTACACATTACGAATGAAACTGCAGCAGTTTCCTGTGCCATTTGTGAACAGGTCATCACTGTATGGTAGCCACCATGTACATGTATATACACTATTTGCACATTATGTACAGGAAGATTAATATATTTCAGAGTGTATTATAGAAAGATGATAGAAGATTATATCACAATTAACATTATACTTACCAGTATACACAATTGTACAGGAGAATCACACAATAAAGGGTTTGAAGGTGTAACTTTCCAGTGTAAGGTATATTAACCCTAATAATTTAAAGGTGCATGAAAGCACATTTAATAAAACTTTGAAGAAAAAAAAACATGATTGTTTGTGCAAACTGTGTAAGGGGATGGTGGGCGTTCTGCTTAACTAAAAATATTGCACAAGTTTTTGGCCAAACCATGCCAAACGTGGAATTTACATTTACTCAAAAGTTGAATTTGCATATTAAAGTTGATCCATTTTTTGTGGTCCCAATATATGCAGAGTTAACTGTTTATACAAAAATAGCTGCCTGCTTTCTTGCACATTCCAGCCCAAAAGAAAAAAAACTTCCTAGTACCAGGCTTATTCAAAACATTTTATTTACCTTTATAACATGAGATATAAACCTAAGGGCTGGTAGACTGGAATCTCATAATCCCTGTTCGGATAGATTTGCAAAATGTTTTCGGTAAGTATTGTTTTAAGAGGATTGTGTGCCTCTCGGAGTCTCCCAAAATATGAAATATTTTTGGTAAAGATGGTTTAAAGGGTGCCTGTTTGTGTGATAATGTAACAACTCACTTTGTTATAATTAGAATTATTTATGATTTGTATTGCAAGTTTTCAAATAGTGTTAAATGTATTTTATTACTTGAATATACATGTATAATATTTTTTTTGAAGTGAGTACAAACATGTGTATAAGAAAAATTATATTTAAACCTATGTAAATCTGCAAATTCCAAACACATAACATACTCTAAAAGCTCTCAATATGTGGAGTAATATGAGGCTTGAAAGTCATTACCAGGGGTTATTGTTATTATTTTCCTTTTTTATTAGATGCCAAGGATATCAATATACTTCATGTTTTGTGTGTATGACTATCTTTCATGAAAGACTGGAAAGAAAATTTTTGACAAACTAAGTTCTTTGGGAAAGAAAAGATTTGCTAGACTCTTTGCAAAATTAAAAATGAATATTTTGTTTTCTTCATCCTGCATAGAGAACTCTGCATATGGCTTGTGGTCGCAAATTTCTTCCTCTCAGAGGACACTGAAAGTTTAGCAGATTGTATCCTACAAAGTGCAGTCAAATATTTATTCCAAACTTCTAAAAACCAAAACAATGTTTACAATGAAATGAAGAAAGGAAGTTACCATGTAGCTCATAAAGTTGTCTCGCATAGCGTGGTTCTGATATCATAATGGTTATGAGTATACCTTTAAACTATTTCTGTTTTGAAAATTGCCTCCATTTTCCTTTTTTTTCACTTCTAAGATCAAATTATTAACAAGGATGTAGTGCACAATACCTAGATTGTGTAAAGACATTTCTGATAACGTCTGTTCAGAGCAAGAAGGGCAATAACTTTGTTTTAAATAGAAGAATTATTGACCTTCTGGCTCCAAACAGGGGGCCTTTCACAAAACTTGTCATCAGTGACAAATGACAGTTTTTGTTATAAGCTACTGAAATCCTTGCTTCTGATTGGTTATCAACAGATTTGTCACTGATTTTTGTCATTTGTCATTGAAAATAAGCTTTGTGAAACGGGTCCCAGATGATATATTTAAATGTGATGTTAAGCCTTGTCAATATGATAAGATCTGTTCAAAGCCATGGGCAGCTGTTGTTTAAAAAAAATGCCTTAAAAAAAGTAGCAAATGCTTTGCAGAGCAAATTAATCGCAAAATAATGCAAAGCTTCCAATTATATATGATATTCATAGTTGTCAACATTTAAGTATCTACATGTATTAGATAGATTTGAATTTTGATAGACGGATAGTAGAATCAAGTATAAAACGAGACAGGACACTTACACTAACTAGCTTAACACACAAGGTTAAAATATTCTGAATTAATGTTTTATGTCAGAGAGTAAAATGATGGTATAAACAGGATGTTTTAGAGAGTAATACAATTACTGCCTTGGAATAATTTTATGAATCGCGAGAAAATAACTTTTCAAGATGAAGAGCAAAGTCATGAGTGCTACACCAATATATGAGAAAGCTGACAATATAACTTTCAGATTTGGTATTTCTATCCAATTTTGTAGAAAAGTTTAGTGAACATGCAACACACTTCAAAAGTAATAAGGTAGAGAAAAATGATGTATTATGTACGTTTCAAGCTGTCCAGCTTTTCTGGGTGTCATGAAAGTGGAGGGAAATTGTTGTCTTTCTGTAGTTATTGAAGTCATTTCAGTATGTCTATGTTGTGCATTGCATTCAAAGTGGTAGAATAAGATAGAGGGAAGAAATAAAAGTGAACAGATTTATTTATTTGAAAAGACAGTGCATGGAATGGTTTTCTTTTGATTTGTGAATGGAACAAAGTTTTGATGGGGGAAGGGAGAGAGAGAGAGAGAGAGAGAGAGGAAAGGGGGAGTGTACTTTACGCAGGTCTCATTGAATACAAAAATAAGAAAATAAATGTTTATCTTTAAAATAATAGGATTTGTTTTCCTTTTCGTATTATTAAGGAATGGGAAAAATCATCCTGAGGCGCATTATTGCCCAAGGGCGTATCCAGTAGCGATTTTTCCGACCTGGCCCCCCCCCCCCAGCCCCCCAAAACGATAAAAAAATTGGATAATAACGTAAAGTTAACCTTTATAAAACAAAAAAACAAAAGCGCCCCCCCCCCCCCGCTTATTCGCCAGTCGGCTGAGACGGCACTTAGATTAAGATTTGGCTACCCCCCCTCCCCCCTTGACGCCGGCTGGATCCTCTGCAGGCGTGAATCCACGAGGGGGGGGGGGGGGGGGGGGCTAACGGGTGAACAACAAAAAAAAAGAATTAAAAAAAAAAAAAAACCTCACGAATTAGGTCCAAAAAAAAATAGTGGTCTCACCCCCTCCCCCCCCCCCCCCCCCCCCCGCTTATTCAACGGTTGACTGAGTCAGCGCAAAATATTTCCTGAAAAATTGTACCAAAAAAAAAGTGCCTCCTACCCCCCCCCCCCCCCCCGGCTTATTCACCGACGGCTGAGTTGCAACTAATATTTTCTCACGGATTGGGCCCTCCCCCTCTTCCCGCCGGCTGGATCCGCCACTCCGCGGAAATCTAAATGGTGATTTGTATTAGAAGTGTATTTCAGTGGTAGATTTTAATGGCCTGAATTCACAAAGGAGGATTGCATGTAGACAATCCTACTCCTACTCTCTAGATTAAATTGTAACTTAAATTTTAAATACATTTTGAGACTTAAAATATTTCTAGTCTTCGACTAAAATTTCTACCGGAACCAGCTTCTAGATATCAATCTTTGAAAGACTTATAGGGAACCAAAACCTTATACTAAGTTACTTTTATTGTAAAGTTTAAAAGATTTGAATAAAATCAGTGAAAATTTGAACAAAATCAGGCAAGGAATAAGGAAGTTAGAGCTTTTTGAAATGACTAGTCACTAGAGGGCGGTATTCAATTTGATGACATCATCTGTGGACAACTCTCCATGCCTTTTGTACATAAAATTTCACAATTTTTTTCGTTTTCTTCGTATTTAGGCCTATTTGTGTTCTTGATCCGACTTCATAACATGTGAAGTTGAATATTATTTTGCATTCTATATCTTGCTTTCAGGGGAGTAGAATGTCTCAATCACAAGAAAGAAGGAAAAACATGAAATCTGATGTACAAAAGGCATGGAGAGTTGTCCACAGATGATGTCATCAAATTGAATACCGCCCTCTAACTCTCTAACCCTCTAACTTCCTTATTCCTTGCCTGGTTTTGTTCAAATTTTCACTGATATTTTTCAAATATCTTAAACTTTACAATAAAAGTAACTTAGTATGAAGGTTTTGGTTCCTTTAAAGGTAATATAAAGTTTTGGGAAAATTTGAAAATTGGCTGGACAGTGATTCTTTACACTTTTGATATATTTGGATGCCCCTGTGAATGTTTTATAAGTACTAGAAAATTTAGTCCCTAAAACACTTCTGCTTTGTAGCTGCGACCATGAACATCTCAGAATATGTAGTTGTTATATGCAATTTCCAAACGCCAATCGGTTGATTTTTGTCAAGAAACGTTGTTTTATGGCTTGATTAATATCTTGACCTTGAGAGGGAGCTATATAACATAAAGAGTTTATTTTCATACAATTTCATAACTTTAGACTCAATTTCAACCGCGACAACGATCACTGAATATTGTAGGATCTTCTATGCTTCCAATAAATTCGTTCATTTGAACAAAATTCATGACCCCAATGGGTCGTAGCCAGAGTTTGTTGTGGGGGGGGGGGGGGCACGTGCCCCCCGTGCCCCCCTCCCCCTCTCACCGTGGCTACGGCCCATACCAAAACGTTGTATTACCTTTAAACTTCTCGCCAATCAGATGGGCCGTACCGTAGATAACGCCACGCACGTACGTATGCAGCGCAGTAAAATGTACAATTTCAACGAATCAGATCTCACGGTCGAGCGCGCGCGTTGGTACGGTCGCGCCATCTATATAACATTGCGTGCCTACTTGATCGAAAGAATGAATTAGTGGACGATTTTCTTCGAGAAATAGATCTCGATGGGAAAGTCATCGAGCTCCTAAAGGGTAAGCAACATGACGTATGAATGCTTATGAAGATTTCTGGTAATTTTTTTGTTTTAAAGTTTATTGCCGATGATAAAAATTAGCTGGAGCTTGTCGGAATTTGAAGTTGGCCGTTCGAGTAGACTGGTCTTGAATACACTGAATGTGATCGTGATGACCTGAAGTGAAGGACAGAAGAAGGTCACTGAGGTGATGGGACCTAGATCTAGATCTAGTAGACCTAGAGTCTATAGACTCTAGATCTAGACTAGTCTAGGCCCTACTCAATAAATTTCAAATTCAATATATTTCTAAAGTCTAGAGTCTAGGTCTAACTTATTAGATCTGAAGATCTATAGATCTAGAAATCTAGACTCTAGTCTAGAGTAGACTACTAGACTCTAGACTATTTCCATATTTCCAAAGCCATACTCTAGATCTAGTCTAGATCTAGATTCTTCTAGGTCTAACTGTTAGTGTTAGACCCTAGGCCTAGATCTAGATCTAGATTCTATTTCCAAAGCCAATGGCAATGTTGTTTCCATACCTAGACTAGATCTAACAGTAGACTAACTTGTTAGAGTCTAACATAGACTCTAACTGTTAGATCTAACTTTTTTGTTAGACTCTAACTTGGAGATTTCCCACTTTTGAGAATCGACCCCCAAGGGATAGTTAGATCTAGACCTAACTTAGAATCTAGATCAGTTCGGGAAATGTACGATTTCTGCAACGTTGAAGAAATCCGCAACGTTACACCGCGAATGCGCATAGAGGGCGCGTTTGATTGTTTACGTTGCAGATTTCTGCAACGATGCAATGATGCCGCGTGCGCCGTAGCTCATGTAGGGGGAGGGAGCTCGGGTGGGGGAGGGGGGGGGGGGTGTGCTTGTATAGGGGAGGGGGGCAGAGTCAAGGGATGGAGAGATAAATGAAAATAAATAAACTATAGATCTATGTGGGATAGTGTAATAACAGTTTGAATAATGGTTTAAAGTTGAACTTGTTCAAAAATGATTTTTCTTTAGTGCTAACATATATATATATTCTTCACTCCCCTCGATCCCTGCTCTCTTTCTAGACTCTACTAGTTCCTTTCTTTCAAAATACATGCAACTGTCTTCTTTACCCTCTTCAGGTGGCGAAAGGGCTGAGGGATGCTATAAAGACATCAAATTTTGTTTCTGGCGTTTATCAGCTAAGCCCTGATAATTTTTATGTTAAACATACATTTTCCATTTTGTATGTTGTTTGTGTTATGTTTATCTCTTGTGAACATGTTATATTTATGCAATGTATGCCGACAGGCTGTCATCTGTTTTTTGGGGGGCGGGGTATTTTTTAGATTATGATGTTATTATTAATAATAATTATTGTCTTTTATAGAAATGTTTTTAAAAAAGAAGTATAGAAGTAGCAATCATGTTTTGATATGTTTTATTGATTTAACAAAAAGAATGATATTTATGTTTTACTCTACTTACTATTACTATTATTAATTTAGTTTATTCAAACATTGCTATTTGTATTTGAAGATGCCCCTAATATGTACATCATGAAAAACATGAACATTCAGAATTAAAGAATGATGGAAGTTGAACAAGTAAACAATTTTTTTTTCATTCATTTTGTGTGTTACTTTGAAAATGTAAATTGTTTAATATTCGATAATGAGCTTGTTGATCATGTA